AATATACAAAACTAAAACAAACAAAAAAAAAAACAATGTCAGGCAGTGGTGGCACATGCCTTTAATCTCAGCACTTGGGAGGCAGAGACAAACAGATCTCTATGAGTTCGAGGCCAGCCTGGTCTACAGTGGGCTGGCAGGAATGGGGAGCAGTTGAGGACTGCCCCCTCCTCCTCGTCTCCAGCATCCACGTACCAGTTTACAAAGCGGGAAGGATGGACAGTGGGGGCGACCTCACAGCTACTAGTAGAAGTGTTGGTCAAGGCTATCTATGACTTGTATCTGGGCTCTACCCCTGTGATCCTGTGTGGCCAGTGTGCACACACCCATTTTATAGGCAGGAAACCAAATCTCGGATTATCATGGCCTGTCAGAGTCAAGAGTCAGCCCTGTGTCTTCCCACATCCTGTGTGCTAACAGCGCTGGTGGTTTACTCTGTGAACTTGGAGAAAAAGGAGAATGCCGCTGCCCACCACACGTCGGAGTTCCAGACCCAGAAGCTGGTGCTCAGACGCGGACAGATTTTCAACTTGAAGGTGGTGCTAAACAGACCTCTTCAACCTCAGGACGAACTGAAGCTGGTATTTTCTACTGGTGAGGCCTCAGCCCCGGGAGTGGGATGAAGGGTGGGGGCACAAGGCTGATGAGTGTGCAATGGCCAAGGGTGACTTTGCCCCCTAAGCCTTAGCTTCCCCATGCTGACAGTGGACTGGGAACTGGGTTAATCACTCTGGCACAGTTGATGTGACGATGGCCAGGGAAGGGGCAGAACAAACAGAGGCCAGCCAGCGAGGCAGCTGTTCTAAAGGGATCAGAAACACCTTCTAGAGATACATCATGAAACTGTTTGCTGACACCGTAGTTCTGTTATCGAAAGTCCCACACTTGGGGGCCCAAGGAGATAGTCCAGTCAGTGAAGTGCATGTCACATGAGCAGGAGGATCCGAGTTAAGTCCCCGGCACCTATGTAAAAGCCAAGCAGTAGGGTGAATATTTGGTGGAGCTTACACAGGCTGATCTCTGGAGCTTACTGATTGGCCAGCTTAGACAAATTGGTGAGCTCCAGATTGAGGAAGGCATTCAATGTTGACCTATGGCATACACACACATACACGCATACATATACACACACACATACAAATACACACACACACACTGCATTTTTGGCAGGAAGGTCATTAGTTTAATGCATGTTGTAGTGACTGTATTGGCCAGGGCTAAACAATTTAACAAAGCAGAGAGAGACACAGAAGAGAGGACTGGGCTCTGGAGTTATGGGCAAGGGTATAGAAAGAGATGGGGTAGCCTTGCTTAATTTGAGCAGACGGGGCAACCTAGCTAGCCAAGGTGGAGGAAGACCATTAGCCCTGTGAGGCAGGGGGACCAGCTATCATCAATTGAGGGCTGCACTCCAGGAACTAGGAAGGAGCAGTGGGGCTTGGTGAATGGACAAAGATGGCCGTCCTGGGGTTGACGTCCAGACTCACTTCCCTGTCGATGTTTCCAGGAGAGAGAATGTCGCACTTCGTGGAGCTTGATCCAATGACATCCTTCCGTTCTAAGGGCTGGCAGGTGAAAATTACCAAACAGTCTGGCGGCGAGGTGAGGGCCATAGTGTCGGGTTACTGGCTGGTGGCTTCTGGGTAGTTCCCTGTCCCCACTGAGCAGTTCCTATTCATCCCTTCCTTGCTTCCCAGTGTCCAATGCCGCTTACCACTGTAGCCTTGACTCTGGGTACTGCAGCGTCTTGCTTACCCATAGCGCACAGTAGCTCTGACTAGCCAGATGTTACATAACTCTTGTTCCATATTTACGTTCGCTGGAGGAAATGAACAGAGGAAAATGAGTAAGAATAACCCATCAGGGCCAGGCGTGGTGGTGCACGCCTTTATTCCCAGCACTCTTGGGAGACAGAGGCAGGTGATCTCTGTGAGTGCCCTGCCAGCCTGGGCTATATAGAGTTCCAGGACAGCCAAGGCTATGGAGAGAGACCCTGACTCAGAGAGAAGTACGGAGAGAGACAGGAGGAGGGAGGGGAGAAGATCAATAACAACCCTTCTTCCTGTAGATGCTGTGTCCACTCCTCCCTCCAGGCCTTTTGTTTAAATTCAAAAGCAGTTGAAGGAGCTTTTTGCTTCTCACCCCCTTCTCTTAGCAGAACGTGACATCGTTTAGGTTGCCAGCACAGCAGCCTCCATAGGTGTGAGGGCTTAGGTGGCTTCTCTGGCATCTTTTGTGGCTTTTCTGTCCTCCCGGTGTTGGACAGTCACCACCAGCTGTCCCCCCTCCTAGCTAGACCCCTGAACTAGTCTACGACTTCTTCCTTCAGGCACAGCCTACAGACTCCACTGCTAAGTTAATGCCAAGATTTAGAGGGCCCTGGTCTTCAGCACCCCCGCCCCCCAGCCTCTTTTCCTTCCTTCCCTTCAGGCCGGAACCAGGGCTTCAGTTTCCTCTCTGCAGCAGCATTTTGTGCTTTTCAGGAACTCATGATGGCCTCTCTAGAGGAGGTCTAAGCTTAGTCTTCTTCGCTAGGAACTGCAGTCTGGGTCATAGAGCTGGTGGGAATGGGATGGGGATGGGCTAAGTTTCTTCACTCAAAAGATATTGTTTAATATTTTTTGTTTAAAATTGCTTATTTTTTTATAGCACCCATGAAGGAAGTAAATTTTTTTTAAAAAAATGGGATTTAAAAAAAAAAGTATATATATTTTCTTTATTTTTAATCAAGTGTGTGTGTGTGTGTGTGTGTGTGTGTGTGTGCCTGTGATATTTATATGTGAGTCAGGCGCCCAAGGCACTGAATCCCCTAGAGTTGGAGCTGCCTGACATGGGTCCTGGGAATTGAACTTGGGTCCTCTGCAAGAGCAGTATAAGTCTTTAACCGATGAGCCATCTCTCCAGCCTTTCTTTAAAATTTTAAACATGTGAACATGTATGTAAGACCCTGTATAGATCAGGGTGTCTGACGTTACTTGTACCATGGAAGACTGGGCTTCCTGTGTTGCTTGGTAAGGAACGATGGTGAGGGTTCTAGTCTGGATGGTGAGGTTCTTTCCTCTGGAGCCAAGAGCTCTGTCAGCTGAGGACTTTGTCCCACCTGTGCTGCTGGTGCTCAGGAACACTTTCTCACAGAACGGCCCCTAATCAAGGCAGCCAAATGCCACTGGGGGTTGAGAGAGAGGACATCCTGCCTTCCAGAAGGCTCACTCTCCTTCTTACTGCCTTGGTTTGTGTTGCTTGTTTAAGTCCCACAACCACCTCCGGGAGATGGAGGAGTCAGCAAACTTTCAAGCAAGGAAACTTATGCACAGGAGAAACTGAGCAAGTAGTCAATGCCATTCAGCTAGTGGAAGACAGGGCCGTTGCTCCTAGAAGGCACCTTGTAACAGCAAGTATCTCATAGGTTTAGAAGCCCCTGGGTTGTGTGTAATGATGGTTAATAAAATTCTTAGTGCAGCTGTAGGTACAGTGATGTCTATGTCTTAGTTCTCTACCCAGTCACTATCTACCCTACAGCACTGGAAAGCAGTCTGGGTGCCCTTGAAGATGCGTCAGGCCCTGCAGGGTTGAATGTGACCTAGGGTTTCCAGCATGCTAGGCAAGTGCTAGGCACCCATGCCCCGCAGAGAGCAGGAGCTGACATTTGCTTTGCCTCTTGGAGCCCTGGGTGCTAGATCAGACTCCTGACGTCACAGCCACAGGATCTGCCTTATGATCTGGGAGGTGGCCCTGTCTGCATGCAGGAGCAAAAGGGGTGGGGGGCTCCCAGGACTCAGAGCTGAGTCGGGGAAGAATGCGTCTGCATGTCTCATGTTCCATGCAGGTCACACTGGCTGTCATCAGCGCCGCCGACGCCATGGTGGGGAAGTATTACCTGAAGGTGAATGAGAGTAAATGTGGAATATTCTTCCTTCTCTTCAATCCATGGTGTGCAGGTAACCCAGCAGTTCGGCTGTGCTGTGGAGTGTGTGTGCCCCCCCCCGACCTCACGTGACACAACCAGGAGTGCCCACGCTCGCACCCGGTGACGAGCCCCCAAGCTGTTGTTTGCTCTCGGGGGCCCTCTCAGACTCGCTGACCGGCATGATCCAGGCACAGTTGCTGCTTGCCTAGAAGATTCCCTGGTGGCCAAGCTCACGAATGCTTGTTTTTTCTGCCATTTCAGCTCATCCTAACTGCCATGCCAAACCCAGCCAGCTCCTGCTACAGCCCTGCCCAGAGGCTGCTGGGAGCCACAGGGACTCCTCTGTCTTCACACCTGGCTCTTCTCAGATCATCCCTTCCTGGCTACCCTTGAGCCTTTATACAAATGTTACTCATTTTTACTTTAAATTTTTATTTTTTAATTTTAACTTTATCTCTCTCTCTCTCTCTTTGGTTTTTTATTTTTGCTTTTCAAGACAGAATTTCTCTGTGTAACAGCTCTGGCTGTCCTGGAACTAACTCTGTAGACCAGACTGGCCTCGAACTCACAGAGATCTGCCTGCCTCTGCCTCCCGAGTGCTGGGATTAAAGGCGTGCGCCACCACCACCCGGTTTATGAATTATAGTTCATCATAATTTCCTTATGTTTAAATTTACTCACATTTTTCCATTGAAAGAGCCATGCACCTAGCTCAGGATGTCCTTTTGGAAGTTCTTCATTTTTTAAATTTTGTTTTTGTTTTTGCTTTGAGACAGAGTCTCCCTATGTAGCTCTGGCTGTCTTAGAACTCTCTCAATGTAGACTAGTCTGGCCTCAAATTCATAGAGACCCACCTGCCTCTACCTCCCAAGTGCTTGTGTCAAAGGCATGAGCCACTATGTCTGGCTGTTTGTATTTCCAATGTACAGTGTATTGCTGTGACCCTTCCTGCTTCCTGTACTCATTCCCCCAATAGTTGTTGTCTCAGCCCTATGGTAAACCTGCCTCTATCTCACGGGTAGTCAGTAACCCACATGTGTGTTGTCTTCCTTCAGATGATAGTGTTTACATGCCTAGTGAGGAAGAGCGGGCAGAGTACATCCTTAATGATACGGGCTATATTTACATGGGTTTCGCCAAACAAATCAAAGAGAAGCCCTGGACCTTTGGTCAGGTAATGGATTGTCTTCTTCTGGCTGCACCATGCATGTTTTTCTTGGGTGATATCAAACAAAGGCTGTGGAGCAAAGCGGGTTCACTTCAGCTGAAAAACTGCCCCCCAAGTGTGAAACTTGCCTGAGAGGACTAAGATCCACAGACCCCACAGGAGAAGCGGTTTGAGCCATAGGCCCCTTGTTCAGAGCCCACCAGGGCCTTTCTTATCCTTGGCTCTTTCTGATCTCCTATATTCCAGTGCATTTATCCAGGAACCATTCAGCAAGTCCTTCTATAGGTGCCAGGTGACAGTGTGACAAGAAGCTCAAACCAGGAGGCATTTGGAAGACTTGGGTGTAGAAGGTTCTGCTGCATAGAGGGTGCAGCTGTAGGAAGAGTGGCAACATGGGCGGACAGAGGTTTGGTGGCTAACAAGTCCACTGTGTCAGCTTCGTGGCATCAGAAGATGCCGGTCTTCCTCCCACATTTTACAGAGCAAAACACTCTGGAAAATGCCCACCCTTCAAACCTGCCTCCTGTCCCTGGTCTCTGCACAGAGGATAGCACAGAGGAGGAACGGTGGAGGAGGGACTGCCAGTCAGTAGGGAGTCTGCTTTGCTGTGTTTCCCACTGGACCGCAGCATACCCAGCAGGTGTCACATCCGTGGGCAGACTCCGACCACACTACCTTATGGGATGTTCTTCGTATCCTAGTAAAACTGCTTAAACATGGTTTAAAAAGTAACTCAGGCCTGCACTGAGCTGGGCACTGCTGGCGTGGCTTGTGTGAGGCCCTGGTTCTATCCCTGGTAGTGCTTATCACAAAAGACTTAGAAATACACGGGGCAGGTTTGGTCGCACACGCCTGTGATATAAACACAAGAGAGGTGACTCTGAAGCCGGTGTAGGATAAGTAGGGAGCTACCGTCTCAGTACACCAGTGTGAGCCAGGCATAGTAGCCAAAGCCTGCAATCCCAGCACTCGGGAAGCAGAGGCAGGTGGATCTCCATGAGAATGGAGCTAGTCTGTTCTATACAGCAGGTTCCCGGAGAGCCAAGGCTACACAGACCCTGGCTCAATAAAACAACAAAAACAAAAAGACCTTCAACAATCGGCGGGTGGGGAGGAGGAAGAACAAAGAAGAAACTACAGTACATAAAACAAAATGTCAGCTTTCCGTGGTGAAGACGCTGCAGTTTAGAGCACTTCATTCTCTTAAACGCTTGTTTACATTTATTGTGAGGCACTGTAAGTGTTGCAGTTCCAGGGGAAAGGCTTCCCCAATGGAGGTGTTGCAGCTGTGTGTGTGTGTGTGGGGGGGGTTCCAATGCAAGTGTTGTAGCCCTGAAGGGAAGGGTATCCTGGCGGTCGGGAGCCAGGGAATACCACAAAGTCACAGCACACAAAAAAACTTCACACAGGAGATTTATCGGGCGAGACACAAGCGGGTGACTGCGTTTGCTTGGGCGAGAAGCAACAGGACACCAAGGAGACAGACTTACACGGGGTTTCCTGGGGATGGAGTTTTCCAAGGTGGGGATTTCCAGGGTGGGGATTAGTGGGATTTCAAGCCAAGCCTAGGGATTGGTGGGTTTTGAGGCTCAGGCATTGGTGGGATTTGGTAGGTTTTCAAGCCTGGAAGTGGGCTTGGACCTGTGGCCCTACAAGCACACATGCGGCCCCGTGTGTGGAGGTCAGGACCTACTCTCAAGAGTCAGCTCTCTCCATGGGTAGAGCTTGAGGATCAAGCACAGGTGCTTTTCCCACGAAAGCAAACTGCCTAACCTAGTCTTTATTTATTTAAATTTTTTTGTTTTTTTCGAGACAGGGTTTCTCTGTGGCTTTGGAGCCTGTCCTGGAACTAGCTCTGTAGACCAGGCTGGTCTCGAACTCACAGAGATCCGCCTGCCTCTGCCTCCTGAGTGCTGGGATTAAAGGCGTGCGCCATCATCGCCCGGCTCCTAGTCTTTATTTTTAAGATATTTATTTATCTTATGTTCTTTTGCCTGTGTACGTCTGTGCACTGTGTACTTGCCTGGTGCCCGTGGAAGCCAGAAGAGGACATTCGGTTTTCTGGAACTGGCTATGAGCCACCATGTGGGTGCAGGAATTAAATCCAGGTCCTCTGCAAGAGCAACGAGTGCTCTCAGCCACCGAATCATGTCCATCACCACCCTCGTCCACTTTTTATGACCAATGCTAACCAAGTTGAGATGACATTTCTTGTGCACAGTTTGGCAGCTTGTTTCATTGATTTAACTTGATTACCAAAGGATTTCCCTCGTGGTTCTAAAACCTCTTTGTATCCTCTATATATGTGTGCATTTACCCACTGAGCCATCTTCCCAGCCCCATGTTTGTCTTTTCAGTAGTTGTGCTCTGTGAGCCTTTGGATGTACTAACTGTTGTCATGTGTCTGACTGCTTGGTGGCTTCTACTGCAGAGTGTGGAGGATCTTTGGGAGACCGTGGGCAATTTCCCTTACTTTGGAGATGAGTTATCCTTCAAGGAAATACAAATCAGATGGGGTTGGTTAGTGTCTGCCACAGGAAAGAATCCTGACGCCTCTCTCTCTATCTCCACGACAGTTTGAGAAGCACATCCTGAAATGCTGCTTCTCCCTGCTGACCCATCTGGAGCCCAGTGAACTGCAGAGCCCGGTGATTGTGTCCAGGACCATCTGCACCATGGTATGTGGAGAAGCCAGACTCCACCTCCAGGCTCCCAGAAGTCTACACAGTAAATGCTGTTGTGGTCCATCAACACCCGCTCAGCCGAGTTAGGTTTTCCTGCAGACACTAAGCTGCTCTCCATGAAGCTCACAGAGAGCTGTGGCTGAGCAGTTAAAACTGTCAAGGGATGTGTTGTCTGCCATTGTCCTTCTGAGAACAGGTTCTCAAATTTGAGTTCAGAAGGCCAACTTTGCCACTTCTAAGTTGATCGTAGGAAATGGCTTTTCCAGTCTACAAGATGGTGTAAATATTCGAGGGTCTCGCCCTCCCTGTAAACCTGGGTGCAGCTGGGATGAACACTGTCATGAGTGCGCGTCATAAGAATTCATTGCTAGCAGCAAAGTCACGCGCTACGTCGTGCTGCTATGCTATGCTAACTTTCTTAGCAGCAGTGTATCGAGAAACCCTGATTTGTCAGCCGAGGCTTTTATTTCAGTCTTACTAATATTCACTCTTGGATTACACATCACATAGTAAATATACCTACATGTGTGTATGCATGTGTGAATGTATGTATGTACAGATGTAAGTTATAGAATGGTCACAGAAGGATCACAGAAACTGCAACAGAATCCAAGGAGTTCAAAGAGGCAGAGAAGCTGATGGGGATGCAAGAAGGATCTCTGCTGTGTGTGTGTGTGTGTGTGTGTGAGAGAGAGAGAGAGAGAGCGCTGTGGGATTACAGGACTGAGCCAAGCCTTAGGGTCAAGCGAGGGAGGCTGCAGAAATGAGGTGTGGGACAGTGGAAGCAGCCGGGTGAAAAGCAGGACAGGGTCCAGACTGACAGCGATTTAAGTAGACTATATTGGCAGTAGGAGCAGAGCTGAGCAGAGATCCCTGGGTCAGGCAGTTCCCTTGTCCGTACCAGACGCTCAGGTGACAGATCACCATTACGACATTAGCTGTCCTTCACCTCGGGGTCCAGATGAAGGTGTGTGATACGGTGCTGGGCCTGATTGTCCCGTTAGGATTTAAGATGCCCGTGTGCCCTTATGTTTCTAATCACCTTGCTACATTTATAGCCTGATTTCCTTTTGCCGTTAGGTATGTCATGTGTCAGTCTGTACTCACAGGTGTCCTGACAAGCAGTGTCTATGTGCCGGAAAGTCACCCCGCCTCTGCATTTGCACCCTGAAGTCTCACGTGGGCATCGCGGCCTTTTCATGTTATGAGAGATGCTCTTCTCTGACTTTTTACCCTTGCTCAGTGAGGGGTGGCTTCTCTGAAGGAATACAGAAGGGGAGACTAGGTCTCCTTATGTAATCAAGGCTAGTCTTGAGCGTGTCCCTTGTTCCTCCTGTGTGCTCTCCTTGTCCTGACAGACTGGGGTGTGGGGAGCACACACGTTAACACCGCTCCGTCCTGTGTCAGATGTGTGCCGTGAATAACGGTGTGCTGGTGGGGAACTGGTCGGGAGACTACAGCAAAGGCACCGCCCCCTACGTGTGGACCAGCAGCGTGCCCATCCTGCAGCAGCACTTCATCACCAAGGAGCCTGTGTGCTTTGGCCAGTGCTGGGTTTTCTCTGGGATCCTGACCACAGGTAGGCGGCAGCCGGGGCAGGGGCCGCTCAGCCCCTGCAGAAGCTGACCATCCTGTCTGGGCTCATTTCAGCACTGAGAGCAGTGGGCATCCCGGCTCGCAGCGTGACTAACTTTGAGTCAGCCCATGATACGGGGAAGAACCTCATAGTAGACATCTACCTGGATGAATCGGGCAAGACAATTACACATCTCACCAAAGACTCTGTCTGGTAGGCTCCCTCCTGGCTGGCTAGGTTCCTCCTCTGTTCTCCTGTGGGCTTTCAGCCTCCTCTGTCGACTGGTTCAGGTTGGGAGCAGTGTCAACTCCAGAAACCCAGTTTGTAGAGTCAACCTCATTGTGTGACCCAGAACTCCTGGGAAGGCTTGTTAAACATGAAGACCCCTGGGCTGCAGCCTCTGCCCCCATGGAGGCAAAGACTGAGAACTGGTCTTTACTTCTGGCCTCCAGCCCTGGAGACTGAGACAGGTGCTGTCTGCTACACTGATGTAACTGGCACTTCTAGTCAACCAGGGGCACTGTCTTCTCTGCTCTCTGACCCAGTGCGCAGCACCTTGCAGGCTAAAAGCACAGGGATTTTAAGGGAACTAGGATGTCTGGAGGTTTGGGGTCATGTCTCCCACAGCTGGATGTGCCAAGTCTTTCACTTTGGCACAAGTGTTGGAGACACCAAGCTCTGTTAATCCATATGGTGTAACTGTCCTAAAAATAGCAAGAATAGCTGGACAGTGGTGGCTCACACCTTTAATCCCAGCACTGGGGAGTCAGAGGCAGGTGGATCTCTGAGTTCAAGACCAGCCTGGTCTACAGAGTATGAGTTCCAGAACAGCCAGGGCTACCCAGAGAAACCATGTCTCAAAAACAAATAAACAAAAAGGCAAGAATATGGAATACTGTCCAGCTATAAAGCTATAAAATTATTCATCAATAAAATCAGAATCCTTTTGAGTGGAGAAAAGGTTTACAGTTGTTTGCCCATTCATTCAGCAGAGGCTAGCGATTGGGGGTCTTTGGGTCTCAGGGGCTTCTCCCCCACTGCCTGTCTGCTCTAAGCTCTGCTCTCCATACGGCTCTCCCCACTGTCCTAGCCTTTGTTGACAAAGGTCCCCCTCTCCAGAACCTTAGAGGGCTCTAACTGCATGGCTGGCTCATTTCCACTGCCACAGGAATTTCCACGTGTGGACAGATGCCTGGATGAAAAGACAGGATCTACCCCAGGGCCATGATGGCTGGCAGGTCCTGGATGCTACACCACAGGAGATCAGCGAGGGTGAGTTTGTAAGGGGCTCAGGAGGAGCTGGGGATGGAGGCCGTGTCTGGGGTCTTGTGTGGCGACACTCACACTGAGCAAGGCCTTATAAAGAGGACACAAGTGACAGTCACATGATATAGCAGTAAGTGCAGGCGCTTCCTGGGTGTACAGCCCATAGCTCACCTTTTCACGTGTTTGTGTGTGCACACACGTGCATCATGGTATACACGTGAAGGCCAGAGGACAGGTTGTGAGAGTCGGTTCTCCCCTTCCATCACATGGGTACGAAGGGTTGGATTAAGGCTGCCAGGCTTAGCAAGTGCCGTTGGCTACTTCGTATCTCACTAGCCCACAGCTCATCTTTAAAGTGAGTTTGGTCACTGTCTGCGTTTGGCAAACCCAGGCTCAGGAAGGTACAGTGAATGGGACTCTTAGCCACAGGTCCCTGAGCAGCTGACCACAAAGCCCCAGATGGAGTGGGAGCGTCCCAGCTGGCTGGTTACCTGTATCTGGTTCTGGGTGGGAAGGAGCTTGGGGAGTGTCTGGGCAGATGAAGTCTGGTCTGAGGTTACACAGGAAATCTTGTGGATTTGTTACAGGGTTAATATGTCTTACCAGTGAGAAACTGACCTGCACACTTAAAAGATTAATAAAGGAGAAAGCCCTTTAAGAGTGTGTGACTGTTTCTGGCTAATGCTCAAAGGGAACCAGCCTCGAAAAGAAAACATTTCCAGCTTGTTTTATGTAGCCTCAGACTTATAGATTTCATCTACACTGTCATCCTTAAATCTCTTTCACATCCCAGTGGGACCCTGACCTCCACAGGACACAGGCCCTTGCAGGGGACTTCTTTAGCCCTTCCAGGAGCAAGGTCATCACCCAGATGGAGGGAATAGTGTGGATAGAGGAGGGGTACTCAGAGGCAGAGGCTCAGTCACCAAAGGCATTCAGATTACAATGTAAATATTTTGGTGCCTGTATTATTCCAACCAGCGTGTCCCAAAGGCTCCCTAAGGCAGGGTCACAGCCTCACAGCTCCTGATGGCGCCAGCCAGGGGCCTCCAGAGATCTGCTGTTCCTCACCTCCCCACACTGCCTGTGCTGAAAGGTGCTTAGCAAGGGGTCCTTTCCCTGGGGTCCCAGTTGTCTCTGCCAGGGTGGGGACGACAGTCGCCACCTACCTGGGAAGTAGCAGAAGCCTTGTGCCCAGGGGGAAGGGCTTTGGAAGACCACCTGTCTATTCTCACTGTCGATAAGGTGATGGCAGAGTGTGCATGCCTTCTGCATGTTAGAAGCAAGAGTGTTAGATAGAAGCGCTGTTCTGAGTCTTAGCTCACTACGCTGAATTGCAGGGTTGGCTGCTTTTGAGAGGCTAGGGGAGGAGTCTTGTGTATTGAAGGTTTAAATAAAACAAGGAAATGGCAAGACCAGTGTTGAGAGCAACAGTGCAAAATCAAACCAATCTGTACAATGAAAAGCCGAAAGACTAATGCTTCCTAAGTTGTTAGTGATGGTCAAGGAGACCTCTCTGCTCCTATGTCAGAGCTAGAAGGCAGCATTATCAGTTCAGGTCAGTAGTGACGGCTGGTGAGGGGAAGTGCCATTGTATACTGCTTTGTTTGATTTTTGATGTTTGATGACTTTATGAGGTCAGTACTACCTTTATACCCAATATTCAGGAAATGAAGGTACAGGGGCCATACAGAAACAGGCAATGTTCTGGGATGAATGGAAATAGAGGCATGGCTCCTTCCCTCTGGACCTCAGAATTCCTGGACATTTCAGTTCTAAGCTGGGCTGTGTTCTTAGTGGTAGATAGCAGTCAGGCTGCCTGGGAAGCCCCTGTCTCTTCCCTGAGTGGGTGGGATTTCTTACTCTTGCTGTGATGGACTTAGGGGACAGACCCCAGCAACCATCCTCTCTTCCTTCCCCTCAGGAGGCTTCCGCACCGGGCCTTCTCCACTGAGCGCCATCCGCCTGGGGAAGGTTGAAATCCAGTACGACACCAAGTTTGTCTTCACTGAGGTCAACGGTGACAAGTTCATCTGGCTGGTGAAGCAGAACCAAGGCAGGGAGAAGAACGTCCTTATCGCCGTGGAGACTGCGAGCATCGGCAAGAACATCAGCACCAAGATGGTGGGCGAGAACAAGCGCGAAGATATCACCTTGCAGTACAAGTTCCCGGAAGGTAGCTGCGCAGGGACCTGAGGGGAGAAATCTAGGACATCGTTGGCCATAGGGTTCCTGTCACCACAGCCTGACCATGTGCGCTTTGGCAAGAATGTGACGGTACCCCAAGCCGGGTGAGATGAGGGTGACTGTCCTGGGGCAGGCTTGGCATGACTCACAGTTTGTCCAGTCCAGGGCAGGATATAGCCGGGTGTGGTGGCACACACCTGGAGGTTCGGGTAAGGGAACTGTACTGCTGTCTGGGGGGTCAGCCTCCAGCAGCACAGGGCTTTGAAAGGAATCCAACCAGTCAGCCTAAGCTAAGCTTGTCTGTCTGAGGGGTCTTAGTGAAGGAACACTCTTACACAGTCTCGATGGCTTTCTTCCTTGTTCTCTTGTGTTCTTTCTACGTTCTTTCTGCTGTATACTTTTTTCTACAGCTTATATATCCCAACAAAGTCTTTCAGGCAATGTAGGAATTACAATGTGGTTTTCTGCTTTTCAAGTGAATGATTACAATGAATACAAAACACACAGGAAAGAAAAAACAGCATGTTTTCCATATCCCTCACACTACAGGTGAGAAACAAACTATCCCAAGAACCCATGCACATTTATTTGTTGCAGATTTGTTTTTAGCAATTTGTTATAGATTAACTGTGTGGGCAGGCAAGCTACTCATGTCAGGGCTTTTACTGGCCGGCTGCATTTGCCATTACAAAGAAAGGGCCAATTACTTTATTACTTATCTTGAAAGGTAATCTTATAAGGAGTCTCTTTTGGTGGTGATGGGGGAGTTCAAGACAGGGTTTCTCTGTAGCTTTGGAGCCTGTCCTGGAACTTGCTCTGTAGACCAGGCTGACCTCGAACTCATAGAGATCTGCCTGCCTCTGCCTCCTGGGTGCTGGTATTAAAAGGCCTGTGCCACCACCATACAGTTTATAAGGAAGCTTAAAGGAATCACAATCCTAAACTTTTATTATTGAAAAGGAATCAGTCAGTTCTACTTTAAATCTTTAGGGTACATACCCACTCATCAATAATTTTTTGTGTCAGGAGAGTGAGGGCAAAAACGAGTATAAGGAATTCACCCTCCCCTTTGGTCATCACCCAGACCCAGCAAGAGGAGCTAGTAGCAATCGATCTATATTGTATGTTCCACCCCAGCCCAATGAGTCAGGCAGCTCACGGTGTGTCCTTGTGAGCTCCGGCTTGTTTTCTGGGGTTATCTTAAAACTATTAGCAAGGCATCTGGTCTACCCTGATGATGGAGGAAGGTCATTGGTTAATTAATAAAGAAACTGCTTGGCCTGATAGGTTAGAACATAGGTGGGTGGAGTAAACAGAACAGAATGCTGGGAGGAAGAGGAAGTGAGCTCAGATGTCAGGCTGATCCTCTCCAGGACAGACATGATGAAGCTCTGACCCAGGATGGACGTAGGCTAGAATCTTCCTGCTCGTGGTGCTACACACATTAATAGAAATGGGCCAAGCAGTGTTTAAAAGAATACAATTTGTGTGTTGTTATTTTGGGGCATAAACTAGCCAGGTGGCAGTCCCTTCAACACCCTGAAGCTTTGTTTTAGCTAGAGGCACGTGACTGCCTCTTTTCAGCATTAAGAGAATTAGAGCCATCCTGGACTCAGGTGATTTCCTTTTACCGGTTAACCTGAGCAGCTCCTCAGGTGGAGCTCCTTGGTTCGCTGTGAAGCACATCCTTGTATTTGTTTTAACCCATCAAAACTATGTATAGGCTATCATTATTACTATCAAATTAGACAGTACAGCTTAGAGAAGGGCCATCTTCTTGACAATCCACTGGTAAAAATGCCCAGGACATGGAATTCAGAGATGTTCTTATATTCTTATTGGCTTAGATTCACCCATCTTCAAAGCCGCTGAGTCAGGACTTTGTTTTCCTTTGGAGACAGTCACACTATGTAGTTCTGGCTGGTCTGGAACCTACTGTGAGAACCAGACTAGCCTTGAACTCACAGAGAGCCACCTGAGTCTGCCTCCTGAGTGCTGGATTAAAGGTGTGGGCCATCATCCCTGGTCCAGGGCTTTGTTTTTTAGAGTACTAGAGCCGGAAACCAGGGTTTTATGCACACTAGGCAAGCACTCTGACAGAATTGTACCTCAGGCTCAGGTCAGTCTCTGCCTCCCGTGTCTGTCCCACTGTGCAGTAAATCTACCCAGATTCCACCAAGCCAGGCTGCCTGGAGAATTATAGCCTGTATGCCATGGGGTTTCTGATGCTGCACATGCAGTTTCTGTTCCTCAGCCACCAATAGTGGGAACAGGTGGTCTCAAGGAAGAGGCTCCAGATGTGGTGAGGTGTTCCCTAGAGCACAGCCTGAGGGAGGCGAGCAGAAGAGATGGGGCTTCAGAGGTTGTCCTGGTGTTGCCTGCATCCCGAGACAGTAGCTCCTCCTGTGTCTGGCCTTGCTGTGTTCACAATCAGAGCGAGGGCTGCCTCAGAGAGGGAGAGAGAGAGTTCAGTGTACTTTTTCCTTGTACCTTTTCCTTCTGCCTTGAAGCCTGGATAATTCATGACCCTAACCTCAAATCTGATGGTTTCCTGTGCAGTCTCTAAGCTGTTAGTGACTTAGACTATTACATGTTCTGTATTGATAGTCTCTGCTTGGTGAGCTACTGCTGTGCTCTCTGTCCCTTCAGTTCCTTGAATATATCTACAATGGTTTTGCACTTATTTAACTTTGTGTATGTGGTGTGCATTTGTGTGTGAGCACACCACAGTGTATGTGGTGTGCATGTGTGTAAACACACCACAGTGTATGTGGTGTGCATGTGTGGTGTGTGAACATACCACAGTGTATGTGGTGTGCATGTGTGTGAACACAACACAGTGTATGTGGTGTGCATGTGGAAGTCAGAGGACATTCCGCCATGTGAGTCCTGAGGATTGAACTCAGGTCACCAAACTTGGAGTAGCCCCTCTGACTATATTTAAAATAGAGAACTTAAAGTTTTTCTCTAGTAAGTTCCAAATCAGGCTTCTGCAGGGCCTGGTTTTCCTTTGGGCGGAGGGCATTTCTTGCTGAAAGTGATAAGCTTGGAGGATACACCGTGGCAGTCTGGAGAACAGACTGTGTGCTGTGCACTGTCTCCCTGAAGACCTCTGTGCAGTCTGTTTTCATCATGGGAAGCCTCTGACTTCTCCTATTCGCCTCATGAGCAGCTGGGGACCAGTGTGCTGCAGCCTTGGTCGTCTGGGATACCTACACAAACTCGCCTTGGCTGGGGAGCTGTGTCCATGCAGGGGCTGTGCCCTTCTGCAGGACTTGGGGCTGTGCCCACTCGGGGGCTGTGCCCACGCAGGTGCTGTGCCCACTTGGGGGCTGTGCCCACTCGGGGACTGTGCCCACTCAGGCTATGCCCACTCGGGGGCTGTGCCCACGCAGGTGCTGTACCCACTCAGGGGCTGTGCCCACTCAGGCTGTGTCCACTTGGGGTCTGTGTCCACTCGGGGGCTGTGCCCACTCGGGGGCTGTGCCCTTCTGCAGGACTTGGTGCTGCACTTCAGCCTCGTTTGCACAGAGCCTCAAGATGAGAGGCACAGCTTGCTTGTCTTTTTCCTTTCCTAGCTTCTCTTCAGGTTTGTAAAACTGTCTTTCAAATAAGCACACCAGGAAAGAGTCTGTTGGTTGTGAGCCGAGTCTGCTCAAGTAACGGTGAGCTCTATGAGTGGACATTTCCAGGGAGCTGTCCTAGAAGTCAGAGGAACATAAAGTCCGTGTGATGAGGTTGTAGGTATGCTCCAGACTGAAAGAGGCTTCTGACTTCACTGTGACCAGCACTGCTGGTTTTCCAGGTGACCAAGGGTCTGGGAGGAGGGGAGGCAATAGGATCACCTCATGCCTTCTGAATTCCTCCAACTCACTCTGTTGTCCAGGCTGGTTTGAAGTCATGGCAATTCTCCTGCCTCAGGTTTCCAAGTGCTGCTGGGATTACAGGTATGAGTCACCATGCCTGGCTCAGTGTGTTATTGTGATTAATTATCCTTAGTTTGATGTCAAGATTCCTAGGTAGGTTGGAGGTGGAGTAACTCTTTGCTTGTGTTCCCACAGCTTTTTAGGAGACTAGGGTGCTCTGGTCTTTCTGCTGCCAACCACTTATGACAAGTCCCCAGCACGCGGCCTTGGGTAGTTCTCAGTGTGAATCTGTAGCTCCTGGGAGCCTCCATAGTCCTAGTCAGTGGGTGTCTTAGTTTAGTTTCTGTTGATGTGATAAAGACCATGATGGAAAGCAGCTTGGGCCAGGCAGTGGTGGCAAACACCTTTAATCCCAGCACTGGGAAGGCAGAGGCAGGCAGAGCTCTGTGAGTTCGAAGCCAGCCTGGTTTACAAGAGCTAGTTCCAGGACAGCCCCGGCTGTTACACAGAGAAACCCTGTTTTGAAAAACAAAAACAAAAACAAACAAACAAAAAAAAAAAAAGAAGAAGAAGAAAAGAAAAGAAACTTGTGAAGAAAGGTTTATTTGGCTTACTCATCCCAGGTCATAGTCCATTGAAGGAACCCAAAGCAGGAATTCAAGGCAGGAACTGAGTCAGAAGCCACAGAGGAAGACTGCTGACTGTTCCTCAAGTCTTACTCAACCTGCTTTCTTATATAACCCAGACATACCTGCTGGGGTGTCAGATCCACAGTGGTACAGGCCCCTCCCACATTGATCATTATCAAGAAAATGCCTATGGGCTGATCAAATGGAAACATTTTCTCAATTGAAGTTCTCTCTTCCTGCTTTGTGTCAAGTTCACAAAAATATCTAACCAGGACAACTGACTACTTGTCAACTTGACACAGAAATGCAACACTATGAAACAATACCCTTTCCTGTCTTGCTTATCCCTAAGATCTTATATTAATATCGATATCACAATATAAAAACATTCTAAAAGTCCTAAAGTCTTTTAAAATTCAGTCTCTTTAAGATATCCAAAGCCTCTTAACTGTGGGCTCCTGTAAAATAAAAACATGAGTTACATATTTCTTATTCCAAGAGGGGAGACCCAGAGCATAGTTACAGTCAAATCCAATCAAATACAAAATTAAACATTCAGTGTGAAATACCCAGTGCTTTACATCTGAGACTGACTCCCTGTCCTCTGGACTCCCAAGGGGCCCCCGGCTCCGCTTTTGGGTCTCTGCCACCTGCAGCACAAATAGCTCGTCTCCTAAGCTCAAGTTAGGTCCATGCCACACCTGCCTCTGCCCTTGGTGGTCATTCCATGGTCTTTGTATTTCCGATATGCTGGGTCTCCATGGCTGTACCTTTATCAGTGATCTCTCCTGGCTTTTCACAGTGCCATGCTTCAGGTGATACCCAATGATATCTTCATGCCTTTAAAACCAGCACCACCTGGGAAGCATACACTACCAAGTTTAGCAGCTAGCATGAGGTGCAGCCTTAGTCCTTTCTAAACCACAGTTCCTGGGTGCTGACGAGGAGGAAATTCTCCCAGAAGATTTCACCTCAGTGATGCTGGTCTCTTCATGAAATCTGATTCCTCAACTCTGGCTAACCAGTAACCAATTGTCTCATGAAGGTTTCACTCTAGTGGTACTGGTTTCTTGATTATCAGCTGCCCTTTCTTTTGGGTGTGTGAAACAGGGTCTGGGCTAGAACTTTCTGTATACACCAGGCTACCCTCAAAGAGATCTGCCTGCCTTTTCCTCGCAAGTGCACAGCTGATTCTTCAACTCCAGCTGGCCAGATACTCAGAGTCTGATGGCTCTCATAGATTCTTTGCAGCGGTCGGATTAATAAATCACCAGTAATTGATATTTAAACAAATTTAATAACAAAACCAGACTCACAAAACCAAGGTTCCAGCGAAGTAGCCAGCGGAAACAGGAGAGAGCGGAAGGGAGCGCGCAGCACAATATATATCAGTAAACATACGCCTGAGGGCAGCCCGCCCCCAAGGGGAGGGCTTATCCCTACAATTCTTTAAGGGGCTCTCAAGATTCTCTTGAAACTTTTCAAGCCAGGATCCCATTGTCTCCACTGCTCTCAACATTTGTATTTTCCCAGCTCCCACAGAACAGCGCCCACTGACCTTTGAACACTCAACAGCTTTTCCAGACCAGTGTCCCAAAGTCCTCCCATAACCTTCCCCAAAACAACATGGTCATGTTTGTCACAGTAATACCCCACTCCTGGTACCAAATTCTGTTGAATTTGTTTCTATTGCTGTGATAAAGATCATAGCAACTTAGAAAGGAAAGGGTTGATTTTGGTATATATATGCTGCACAGCAGTCCACTGAGAGAGGCCAAGGCAGGGACTCGAGGTACCCACTGACGCAGAAGTCATGGAGGAACACATCTTACTGGTTCGCTTCTCGTGTCTTACTCAACTTTTCTTATACAACCCAGGTCTGTTTTCCCAGAGGTTTTAAACCTACAGTGGTATAGATCTTTCTAAATCAGTCATTAATTAATAAAATGCCTCGCAGACTTGTCCATGGACCAATGAGATGGAGCCATTGTCTCAACTGACGTCCCCTCTTCCCAGATGACTCTGGCTTGTGTCAAGTTGATAAAAAAATTCAAACCAGAACAAGGGAAAGCTCTCTCAGCCCCCAAGGGTGTGCTCAGACATTCGGTTCCCCTTAGAGAGGTGTCCTCAGGAAATGTCCCGTGTCTCTGCAGGCTCCCCAGAGGAGAGGAAGGCCATGGAAAAGGCCGCCGGTAAGCACCCGGATGAGGACAAACCCGGCCGTCGGCCAGTGAACAGCATGCTTCAGATCCATGTCCTCCAGAATTCTGTGGAGCTAGGCTATCCTGTCACTTTGACCCTAGTGTTGAAAAGGAAAACGGCCACACCACAGAATGTCAACATTTCGTGCTCCCTCGACCTACAGACATATACAGGCAGCCAGAAGACAAACCTAGGAATCATCCAGAGGACGGTGCAGATCCAAGGTCAAGGTACCAGAGCCTCGGGCCCCGGAGAGACCAGGATCCCTGTCATCTCATGTCTCTTTCTTCTCTGTGATTATTCCCATACTCTTCTGTTTGAATAGACACAGCATTTATTGAGCACTACATTTGGTGGTGATAAGAAATCCTGGCATAGTAGAAAAAAAATGGGCCACATAGATCAGAGTGAGCGCCAGGAGTCTGGGGTCTACCACACATAGATCAGAGTGAGCGCCAGGAGTCTGGGGTCTAGCACACATAGATCAGAGTGAGCGCCGGGAGTCTGGGGTCTACCACATAGATCAGAGTGAGCGCCAGGAGTCTGGGGTCTAGCACACATAGATCAGAGTGAGTGCCGGGAGCCTGGGGTCTACCACATAGATCAGAGTGAGCGCCGGGAGTCTGGGGTCTACCACATAGATCAGAGCGCCGGGAGTCTGGGGTCTACCACACATAGATCAGAGCACCAGGAATCTAGCACGTTAAGGGTGCTAATGGTGTTGCCCAGTCTCTGCAACAGTAGAAATTTTGTTTGGAATTACTATTCTATCAGTGGGCTGTGTTACCCTCAGCGTGAGCAGACTACCCTGACAATGGGGGCCCAGAATGGGCCTGGAGAGCTCAGTAAATCATCAAGTCCACTTGATCCCTAGATGCAGGCTCTCCAAAGAGAGGTCAGGACTCCTCTAAGGCCAAGCGGCTCTGTCCTGAGTTAATCTAACCCTATGTTTGCCAAGAACTCACCTCTCCTCTCTTCCCTGCTCTTTCACAGAGTCAGAGGTGGTTCTCAGCATGGACGCCAACTCCTACATCTACAAACTGGGCATGGTTGACGATGAGGTGGTCATCAAAGGGTTCATCATCACAGAAATAGTGGAGACTGGCGACAAGGTGGCTACCGACACGACCCTGTCGTTCCTGTACCCCGCCTTCTCTGTTGAGGTGAGCTGCCTGCAGGCCAGGGAAGGGGCAGAGCTCAGGGCCTTTGTGTCCCCTGGTTGACTGACCACTGCGCCAACTGCATCCCTAAGGAAAACGGCACATCGTTTTTCACACAGGCATTTCTGAGAAGGGATGTGTCAAGCAGCTTCTTTTCTCTATTTTTGGCTAACTGGATTTAAATTTCTTAAAAATGAGGACTACCTGTTAACAGCACAAAATTCTAAAGATGCAATTGGCATGATAAAAATTTCTTCCCGTCCTCCTCAGATGCTCAGCTCCTTTACCAGAAGCGATCCCTGCCATCAGCTTCTTGCGTGTCTAAGTGTTTTGGATACAAGCCAGTGAAGTACAAGTCTTGCCATGGGCCCACCTCCAGTGTGGGGTGTGATAAAGCTGGTGCCAGACCAACTCCCAGGCAAGTGGGAGTCAAAAGCAGCTTATATAAGAGGCTCTCCATAGTGATATTTTATTTGTATTTAATAAATAAAGCTTGCCTGAAGACCAAAAAGCAAAACCGCCAACCACTGGCTCTTATCTCTACCTCAGTCCAAACTGCCTCCAGGAATCCTCCTCAGAACAAGACTGTCTGAGGGCGGTCTCCTCCTGTTTTATACTCCTCTCTAGCGCTGGGATTAAAGGTGTGTGTTGAAATAAGAGTGGCGGGGCTGCATCCCCAACACCCTAGCCGCTTGGCTAGCTCATGCCCGAAATAACAACACACAAACTGTATTCATTTAAGAACTGCTTGGCCGGTGAACTCCAACCCTTACGGGCTAATTCTCGCACCTGGACTAGCCCATTTCTAATGATGTGTGTAAGCACCCCAAGGTGCGCTTACCGGGAAGATTCTAGCCTACATCCATCCTGGGTTGGAGGAGCTTCATTGCGTGCATCTGCCTGGGATGGCATGGCGTCTCTGCTCTAGCAGAGCTGTCGGGTCTGTCCGGGAGCAGAGCAGAGTCTGACCTCACTTCCTCTTCCGCCCAGAATTCTATTCTGTTTCCTCCTCCCATCTATCTTTTAACCTATCAGGGCCAAGGAGTTCCTTTATTGCTTAACCAATGAAATCAACAGATTGATATATGACACTCCCACATCAGGTGTGCACCACTACTACCTGGTTTCTATGGCAAAGTAATATGGCTACTGGGATTGAAGGTGTGTGTCACCACTTCCTGGTCTGTAAGGCTGACCAGTGGGACTGTTTTACTCTCTGGTCTTCAGGCAAGCTTTATCTATTAAAACACAGATGAAATCCCATTGCCCTAGAGTCCTTCCTTGGTGGCCCTGGCCTCTCCCAGGGTTCATCATGTTTACAACTCAGCAGGGTACCTCCCTTGGGACTTCTCAGGCCGAGGATATGGCCACCTCTGGAGACTGTTTTGACATTTCTGTGGCAGTATGGTTGAGTCAGAGACTCATCCTTGGCCGAGGTGGGGCTCAGGCCTGGCCCCTGCTCAGTGAAGCAGAACCGCATGCTTCCCGGGATCCACTCTGCTTGAAGCAGGTTCAGCCCACTCACCATGGCCCAATCATCCAGAATTTCTAGCTGGGCGGTGGTGATGCACACCTTTAATTGCAGCACTCGGGAGGCAGAGGCAGGTGGATCTCTGTTTGAGGCTAGCCTGGTCTACAGAGCAAGTTCCAGGACAGCCAGGGCTACATAGAGGAACCCTGTCTCAAACCCTCCCCCAAAATGAGGGGCTGGAGCAATGACTCAGGTTAAGAGCATTGTTACAGAGGAACCAGGTTCGGTTTCCATCACATACGTAATGGTTCACAGCCACCTTTAACTCCAGTCTAAGGGAATCTGATGCCTTCTGATGCCTTCTTCTGACTTCTGTGGGTACTAGGTATGCATATGGTCTAATACATACATGTAACCAAAACATTCATACAGATAACATAATTAAAATAGGTTTCTCTTGGGGGTCTCACTCCCATCCTCCTCCTGAGGTGGCTCCACAGGTATCTGTAGGCATCAGAGAACACTTGTCTCTGGAGCCAGGCATGTGTGGTCGGAGCTTCAGATGTCCTAGAAGTGGGCACTCTACTTTCCTTTACTAAAATTCTAGTTAGTACATCTATACTGTGATTGGAGGAACTAAAATTCTAGTTAGTACATCTATACTGTGATTGGATGTAGCTAGCACATGGTTTGAGTGGGGAGCAGGCATTGCTTCTGGAAGGAGACCAAACCCTGGGCAGGGGAGATGGGGCTCTGAGGGAGAGGGTCCAGCCAGAACAGTATGGCAGGGCACGCGTGAGTTCCAAGTGTTCTGGCTTTGGACAAATGAGGGGCGGAACAGATTCTGAGGGATGAACACAGTCTGTTTTTGGATGTGTTTCTCCAGGCTGTCCTGTGACGCAACTTGGAATTTTGGGTCATTGGCGAGGGAGGACGGATGTCCATACCATAGCTTGGGGCTCTAACAGCTGTTCAGCCCCTGAGCCTGGGCAAAGGGGCATCCTGATTAGCTGGATGAGATCAGGATGTAGCTCACACCAGGACCTCTGGCTACCATGAACTATGTAGCTTCATAGTTCCTTCAAAATATGATTGGAGGAACTAAAATTCTAGTTAGTACTCGAGTTCCTTCAAAATATGTCTGACAAAACTAAAGAGGTAAACATGTGCAAATACACGGAATCTCAGAGAGACCCAGGTGGACCAGGTTCTCCACAGAGCCTTCCAAGGGAGCGCAGACCTACTGACACTCCAGCTGCCATCTACGCTCTCATCTGCAGCTCGTCACGCCTGCCTTTCCTCCACTCCCCACTCTTAACAGATGCCGGACACAGGCAAGGTCAACTGGCCACTTCTCATCACCTGCACCTTCAAGAACACCCTGCCCATCCCTCTGACTAACATCAGGTTCTCCGTGGAAAGCCTGGCCCTCTCGAACATGCAGTCCTGGGATCAAGGGTGAGTTCACCCAAATTGTTCTCACGGGACAGATGCTATAATGGGTCTCTCACATGTGCCCTCCTTCGGAGACGTAAACTTTCAGCATGAGATTCAGTAAAAATGCAGACACACATTGCTGGTACCAAATCACAGAAAAGACCACACTAGTGTTCTGCCAGTGGTAGGCCTTTCTGCTTCTTGTCAATCTGATTGTTCTACAGAAATGTCAAAGCATCCCCGTGTCTTAAGTCTCTGCTATAATTCGTTTCCTTTGCCCGTTTACCCCTATGGAGTCATTACTTTTCTTATTAACCCGAGTGCAGCCTTTACTCAGGAAGAATAGGGGTGTAATTAGCTTGTAGGTTATTTATCTTGAGACAGTCTCACACTATATTGGCCAAGCTGGCCTTGAACCCATGGAGATGCGTTTGCCTCTGCCTCCTGTGCTGGGATTAAAGGCATGCACCACCTCTGCACAGTCTTGTTTGCTGAGGTGCTGTCCTGGAAACTGAGCGCAGGCCTTGTGCATGAAAGGCAAGTGCTCTCCCACAGAACTATATTCCCCAGCCTAGGCTGTTTAAAGTTCTAGCATGCCTTTGTTAATCTTCTCTGTGGATACTGAATTTCATGTCATAAGCAAGAATATAGGAATAGTTGCAGGTGGTGGTGGAGCACACCTTTAATCCCAGCACTCAGGAGGCAGAGGCAGGCAGAGCTCTGTGTTTGAGGCCAGCCAGGTCTACAGAGCTAATTCCAGGATAGCCAGGGTTACACAGAGAAACTCTTGTCTCAAAAAAAAAAAAAAAAAAAAAATTGGGGAGGGGGAGGGAATGGGAGGAGAGGAGGAAGTGGAAATTTTTAAGTAAAAATAAATAAAAAAATGTGAAAAAAATCAACCAAACAAAAAGGAGAAATAGTATAAATTTTCTGCAATTTTTGGCTCTATTTACATAATTATTACTGTGAATATTAATTTTGGGATAGAATAATCCAGAGCCCCAATTTTGCCAAATAATTTATCAATGAAATGTCAATAACACAGGTAATCCCCACTTATACCTCGGTCTCTGGACTGTGTCATGTGTCTTTGTCAGTGATGCTGTGCTGTTTGAATGGCTGTACTGGGAAGTGTGCAGTGCTGTATGAAGGCAGCTTTCTTCTGTTTCTCTAACATAGGACATTTGAATCACCGTGATTTGGGATTTAAACTGGAACTGTGCTGTGCCAAACAAATGGCCTTGCCGGGATGTAGTCTAAGTTCCCACGCATCCACGTGTCCTCTTTGTAAGGGGCACACTCCTAGTTGGAGCCTTTGTTGCCTTGGTGCAGGGGATGCTTCTCACTGTTTTCTGTCTGAGGAACTAGAGATTGATCTTGGTTTGCCAACATACCCAGTACAGGATTTTAACTCAAAGATTCCTCGGGTCTGTTTCACACCAAGTGTCTAGATCTCCCAGGTAAATCCCAGCAGTCTCCTGTTATTCTGAGACTAGGGTTTCCTAACCCTTCACAGACACACAGATCACCTGGGAACATTGTTATTCTGAGACGAGGGTTTCCTAACCCTTCACAGACATACAGATCACTTGGGAACATTGTTATTCTGAGACGAGGGTTTCCTAACCCTTCACAGACACACAGATCACCCGGGAACGTTGTTAAAGAACAGATCAGTTCAGCAGTTTGGGTGAAGGGGGCTCCGAGTCCAACACACTCTCAGGTAATGCCATCTTGAGTCCCTAGGGTTAGAGAACACCTTGTAGATCCACCAGGAACTGTGTTCCTGAGGACACCCAGGAGGGTTTGTGACGGCTAACTGGAGAGGCATTCCAGCCGTCTGTCTGGCAGCTCAGACAAACGGCTACACTCCAGGTGGAGGCCCACTTTACTGGGCTCCGGAGCATCACTGTGCTTTTCCAAGAGCTGTCCCGGAACCAGATGCCTGGTTTTTCATGCAATGCACTTTTCTTCTGTGGCATCTTTGCTGATTCTGTGTGCATTTGAATTTTCTAGGACAGTGCCACCTGGACAGTCCATCACTTTCCAAATGAAGTGCACCCCAGTGAAAAGTGGACCCAAGAAATTTATTGTCAAGTTTACTTCCAGACAAGTGAAGGAGGTTCATGCCGAGAAGATCATTCTCATCACCAAGTAGCCCAGCTGAGACCATGGAGATGGAGGCAAGAGCCCTGATTGGCTCTGAGCCTCTGCTAAGCATGTTACCATTTCCTAAATTGTATTTAGTGTTCAGGTCAGGGATGATTGGATTTAATTACTCAGAGGAGGGCAGATTCAAGAGCCAGCCCAGCAAAAGACAGAGCTCAAGGGCCAGTGTAATCTCAGGCAGTAGCTCCATGGGACCAGGGCTCCTCTCTGCAGCTTTGAGTATACATCACAGACATCTTAAACACACATTGAGGAGTCACGGCCTCAGAAGACAGCAACTGTCATCTGGGTTTAGACCCATAGACAGAACCCAGAGCTGCTATTCAGTGCAGCTGAAGTGCTGGAGGCATCTTCCATTTGGGCATCGGATTCTGTCAGGTCCAGGGGTGCCTAGAGGTGAGCTAAGACCCCTACAGGAAAGCATCCTGGAGCTGGTCCTGGCTCTACATGCTCATCCCAAGGCTCTGTCCTCTCAGAAGCAGGCCCACGCTGGCGTGAGGCCCTCTTGCCTCTGGGTGGGACAGGGGAGGAGACCCCACAGCCTGTATCCCCTCCAAGGAGGAGTCTATGGCCACTGGTAACATCTGCTCTGCTCACTGGAGTCTGAGTTCTGCTCTGCCCTCGAGGGATCTTCTCGATGATCACTATGCTTTGAATTAAACTGCTGACTTTAAGATGGCTGTGTCCTCCTGAGTGAATTTTCCTGTTATGTCAGCATGCTGCTTAACAAACCTGGGGGAGCCATTGCCTCTGAACTTCACGTTGATCTCCTTGGTCTGGGCTGTCTTCATGATGGCCAGCCTCGGTCAAGGGCTACAACTTCTAAGTGGACATATACTCCAGAGAGGCGCAGTAGACCGAATGAGGGGTATTTGTGTATTCCGAGGACACTTTGTCTGATAAAACACTGACCAAATGCAACCTGGGGAGGAGAGAGCTGATGCCATCTAACTTCGGGTAGCGCTCAGTTTCTGAGGGCACTCAGGGCAGGAGCCTGGAGGCCAGAGCAGTGCTGCTTACTGGCTTGCTCCTCAAGGTTTGCCCATCTCTTGTCTCATACGATCAGGACCACCAGCCCAGGGGTGGTGTAGTGAATTCTAGTTGGTCTTAATAATAAAAACCCAGGGTCAGATATGGGGGTATATGTTGAAAGATCAGAGAGACAAAGGAGCAAGCCAGAGACAGCCACGTCATGCCCAGCCAGGTCCTCAGCCTGAAAGGGGCTGAGCATCTCTCTCTAAGCAGCCATATCACTTCCTGTTTCCTCCGCCCTGGTGCTGGGAGTAAAGTCGTGTGCCTCCACTGCCCGGTCTCTATGGTTAACTAGCGGCTGGTTCGGCATTCTCATCTCCAGGCAAGCTTTATTTGTTAGAGCACAAACAAAATTATCACCAGAGTGGCAGCACCCACAACGGGCCAGGTCCTCCTACATCAGTCATCAATCAAGAAAATATATTACATACTTGCTTACAGGTTATGTTTTTTTGAGAGGGTTTCTCTGTTTAACAGTCCTAGCTGTCCTGGAGCTCGCTTTGTAGACCAAACTGGTCTCGGTCTCACTGAGATCACCCTGTCTCTTCCTCCCAAGTGCTGGGATGAGGAAAAAAAAAAAAACCACGCATCACCACCGCCTGGCACTTATAGGCCAGTCTTACGGAGGCATTTCCTCAACTGACTTTAGCCTGTGCCAAACTGACAGAAAACTAGCCAGAGCACTGTCAGCATCTCACCTTCATTTGTTCAGAACTAGAAAACCTCAGTCCTGATTCCTTCTGTGTATCTGTCCACCTCCCTGGGATGCAGCAGGTGTCTGGCATGTACTTGTGGGGTGACCAGTTAGTAATCCCATGAAGCCACTGTTAATGTCTGTATGACACTTGTTGGGCCTGAGAGGAAGGATGCTGTCTAGGGCTTTAGGTTGCTAAAAACAGGCACCTCTAACTACAGAGGTAGATCAGAGAGCTTTTACTCAGACAAGAGGCAGGTGTGTAGCCCGTCTCCCTCCCAGAAACACTGGGCCTCCTCTTATCAGCTGCGCTACTGAGCAGACTCTCAGGAATCACCAAGGAGAGAAGGCCACTGTGTCTGTCCTGGTGGGAAGGCACAAGACTCAAGACTGAGCAGACTGCTGCCTACATGATCCTGGCTGTCCATCTCTCCTTGGGAGAGATGCAGCTGAGGCCCTAACATGATAATGGGCTTGCTGAGGAAGGAGGAGGAGCTAGCTCTAAACCTGTGGGAGCAGATGCCTGCCCACCTCAGCTCTTCTAGTGGAGTACTCTGGAAACCGACGGCTGTGGGGCTGGGAGGAAGCTGTGCTGCTAGTCAAGCTGGCTTCAGGGAAGATGGGCTTCAGCCCCAGAGCGCATGGACTCAGCACAGACAACGACTCTACAGCTCCTTCCTTTTTAAAACTGCTGCTTGTTGGGGACCCAGTCACTAGCCCTTCTTTCTCCTTGGTGTGGAGTCTCTGATAGGTCATCCAGGGGTTAGGACTCCTGCAGCCAGAGGACCACTCTCTCCAAACAGTATCAGCAGTAAAGCCAACTTGGGCTAGGATGTTAGTAGAGATAAACGTTAAAACACATCTGCTCAGAAGAAATGCACCTGCAGCAGGGTGGGGTAGGGTACAGTTGTTAATGCTGGATCCCTGTTGCTACTCTGTGGGGTGAACCGTGGGATCTGACGGAACTCCACCCTCCAGGGACTGCCCAGGAATAAGACCACTGCTCGGCCCTCGGCCCCCCACAACCTTCCTTTCTCAGTGTCCTCAAATAATACCGACTCTGTCAGGCAGTGGTGGCGCTTGCCTTTAATCCCAGCACTGGGGAGGCTGAGGCAGGCAAATGTCTGTGATTTCGAGGCTAGCCTGGTCTACAAGAGCTAGTTTCAGGACAGCCTCCAAAGCTACAGAGAAACGCTATCTCAAAACAAAACAAAACAACTGAAAAGCCTGACTCATGCATAAGGCCACAGGTCCAGGACATGGAAGAAGGGATGTAATACAGAATCCTCCGCCGGGGCTGGAGCAGGCAACACTTGGGAATGGTTCAAGGTCTGAGTCGGGGAGCTGGTGTGCTTCTTGAAACTATCTGTTTAGATGCAAAAGCTGCTGCTTCCGCAACCATGGCAATAGACTGGGGAGTGCAGGGGGCTGCCCAGACCCAGGCACCCAGCGGTCTGCATGTCCTAGCCACCATGCAGTTTTCTTTTGTTTTTAACATGGGGTTTCTCTATGTAGCCTGGAGCTCTGCAGCCCAGGCTGGGCTGCCTGCCCCAAACGCTGGAATAAAGGCATGTACCTCATGTCCAGCCACACAGCTGTCTGAGGCACCATCCTGGGAACTGTTCTAAAATGCAGAGGTAACCATTTCTGGGTGTACCTGTTCCCGTGTCTTACTAGACTTTTTCCAGGAGCCCAATACATGAATGCAAACTTGTGGCCACAGAAAGGCTGGCTCCATTGTTGTCTCAGAAAGGAGTCCAGTTATCTATAGGATGGGAACTAATTTTGGGTGACTGTCATAACTCAGGCTCATTTCCTTCTGCACAGGTTCTGCACATGTGCATGCATTCAAGTGGGTGGGGTGCTCTTTCAACCAAGCCCAAGCTCAAGCCCCAAGGGCAGGTCCAGTAGCCAGACAAGGAATCCCTTCCCCAGGAATGGCTAGTCTCTCTAGCCTTTCAGGTTGGTCATCCCTGATGTCAGTATCCTTCCCCAAGGCCCTCAGCATCCCCAAGACAGCCCTTTAGAAGAAGCGGCTCCCTCCCCGCCCCCCGGACATTCTGGTCATCATTTCCCTTGCTGGGCAGAGACTAGGCAGCCTTCCCAGGCCTGGAGAATGGTCCCCAACCATCCCTTTTGGCACACGCTGCTAAGAGGAACTCAGAGAAAGTCCCTACTCTTCTCTACCCACACCCCACCCTGAGAGAGAGTTGGTAACCCCACGGGAATGCCTGAACGAGCCCTGGGAGCTGGGGGTGCAATCGGGCCAGCAGCTGCTGTTGGTGTATTATTCTTGGCAGCCTCTATTCATCCAGCACCTCCACAGAGTCCCTGTCTTTTGTCTCCTCCAATTGGCTCTCAGTGGTCTCCATATTGTCCATGTCTGACAGAGACGACACTTGCCGGACCAAGCCCTTGTCAATGGGGATCACGGGTTGACAAGGTCTGGTGAAAGGGTTGAACCAGTTCAGGGAGAAGTCCCCACCAAAAGCCTCCTGGACCGACTTCCAGCTGCCCGAGTGCTCCCTGGGCTGCGTCTTGCGTTGGAGGCGTTCAATACCCTGGAGGGGAATGGGGCGAGAGGTCAGTGTGGTGTGACTTGTCTTGGCAGAGCAGGGCATGGGGTGTCCGATATGGCACAGCTTGCTGTGGCCCAGGCCACCCTGGAAGCCCCATAGGGCTGCAGGGCAGAGTAGAAGCTGTTGAGCCCGGTAAGAAGGCGTGGCATTGGAACTGCCTGTCACCCACTGACTCCCTGATCCCTTCCTCCAAAGGCAGAGGTTGGCTGCTGGACACCAAGTGACCAAGGATACCCTGGCTCCTGTCCGTCTGACGAAACCACTAAGATAGGACCAGCAAGCTTGGCACCGGGAAGGCTGAGGGCTGAGGACATGGGACAGGACACAAACATGCAAGGGGAAGCAGCAGATGCCACATGCAGCGGGCACCGGAAGGTGCAAAGGCCACTGTAGGTTGTGAGGGTTTGTCAGGCCTGCTCATGCAGTGGGTTCCCCATGGCTTCTCCCGGGCTGACCACTCACCTGCTGAGGATGCTGGCTGTAACTCGGCCACCAGGCCACAGAAAGAGGGTGACAGGTAGGAAAAAGCCCAGAATTGTTACAGATACAGCCAGAACAAGTCTCTAAACCCATAACATCCCTACAGAGGCTCTGAGACCCCAGTGTAGCCTCTGCTGGAAACCAAGGGAGTTCACTGAGTTTTCCCAACAGACATGATGTGCTCATTCATATGACTCAAGACCCTCTTCCTCCATCCAAGACCTCTATGTTCCTAGTTCTACATCTTCTCTTCCATGCAATCTTCTCCCATAACTGGCATATTGGACACCATCTTTGTTATGCGGACATCTGACGGTATCCTATACCAACACTCTGCCACTCTTCCCACGGACACCGTCTTTGTTATGCGGACATCTGACCGTATCCTATACCAACGCTTCCCATGCCACCTCAGATTAGTTCCAGAGTCTGATCTCAGCAGGTGTGGTGCCGCACACCCTTAGCCCTAGCACTTGGGAGGAACAGGACAGCCGGGGATAAACAAACAGATGATAGGAATCTGAGCTCATTCTCTCTTCATATGAGACATCAATCACCAGAGGAGCTAACGGGCGTTTTACAGCAGTGAATATTACAGAGACGGATTTAGCCAATGATCAAAGTCAGAACTGCTGAGACTGAAGTGGATCAGTGGCAAGTGTCCCCAGTTACAGAGAACCACAGATAAAACACCCCAATGCCATTCCTGCCCCAAACCACAGCCCAACCCAAAGACATAAAGGCTTCTGCAGAGCACCTGGTCCAGCCTGCACTGGGCCAACCGGACAGAAGTGGTTTATTCTGAATTCGATGTCACAGGATCACTACATACTTAAACTGATTCATATTACATTATATGAATTTATCCTCAATTTAAAAAATGTAGATGACAAATTTAAGAGTGAGGAACTGCTAGAAATTGGGGTGAAGAGACAAACAATAGAATGTGGGGTCCATGAAGGCAAAGGGGGCAAGGAGAGGAACCTCAAGAGAGCCCCTGAAGCAGAGGGCAGTATGTTTCAATAGTTTTGTCTTTAAAGAGAAAATGGGTTTCATCTGCTATTGTGTGTAGGCTGGTCTCAAACTCCTAGGCTCAAGTGATCTTCCCATGGTAGCCTCCTGACTACAGGTATGTGCTGCCATGCAGACTTCAAGATTTTACTTTCTCCTTTTTACTTTTTATGTTGCATTTATTTACTTTTTAAGGAGGCAGGGTTTCTCTGTAGCTTTTGGAGCCCGTCCTGGCACTAGCTCTTGTAGACTAGGTTGGCCTGGAACTCAAGAGATCCGCCTGCCTCTGCCTCCAGAGTGCTGGGACTAAAGGCATGTGCCACCACTGCTCAGCTGTTTCTTTCCTTTTAAAATTATTTTTTTAAAAAGATGTATTTATTTATTTTGTTCACAGTGTTCTGTCTGCATGTATGCCTGCAGGCCAGAAGAGGGCACAAGATTTCATTACAGATGGTTGTGAGCCACCATGTAGTTGCTGGGAATTGAACTCAGGACTTCTGGAAGAACAGTCACTGCTCTTAACCTCTGAGCCATCTCTCCAGCCCCCTAAAATTATTTTCTTAAAAGAGAAACATTTTGTTGATGTTATTGTTATGTTTATCTTTGGCACTGAATATCATAGAGAAGATACATAATTTTTCTGGCTTTTAAAAAATTTATTTATTATACAGTTCTGCCTGCATATATTCCTACAGGCCAGAAGAGGGCACCAGACCTCATTATAAATGGCTGTGAGCCACCATGTGGTTGCTGGGAATTGACCTCAGGACTTCTGGAAGAGTAGCCAGTGCTCTTTAACCTCTGAGCCATCTCTCCAGCCCTTGCTGGTTTTTTATAAGTGAAATTATTTCACAATGAAAAGTTTAAACAAATGTCAAAAAATTCATGGCAGATTTTGTTCTCCAACCCGGAACACTGAATTTATAACGCAAAGTTGAGGGTTGGAGTGTACAGTAATGCAGGCTGATTTTAGAAATCGGAACCATGTGGGCGGCAGCTTTACGTGACCCCTCGGCCACCCAGCGACCTGTGTGGTAATCACAGGGGAGCCGTTTGCACAGGAACCCCCCCCCCCATGGAACTGTTTCCCTAGCAAATGGTGTCTGTTTCTGTGGATTTGTCCACATTTCATGTTTTCACCATGGAGCAAACATTAGTTTTATAGAATCAGGTCAGACCCTTGCAAGTCGTGCCCACAGGCACAGGCTACCTTCCTGCAGACAGCAGCGACAATTCATTTTCAGGGACCCTGCATCCCCTGCCTGGTGATCACCTGCAGTCAAGAAGGGCTGGGCCACTGCAATGTGATGACACCCACTTGGTAGGGAAGGTGTCAGGGCTGATTCTCAGCAGAGGTCGGACAGGTTGAGCCAGCAGCCCAAGCTTGGCTGGAAGGCTATGCAGAAATAGGACCAAGGTTTTTTCTCTCCACCAGGTGTTTTCACTTTGCCCACGTGGACAAGCAGGGTTGCCACTGTCCAATGGTGTGTTAGGATAGCTGGCCTGTGAGCTGACATTCTTAGCAGCTAAGAGAACAGACATCAGGAGTGCCAGTTGAGTCCAGAGAGGAAATGGCCTGAATAAAAGGATGCATAAAGCAGGCCCGAGGCTCTCTTTCTAGGAGTCATAGAGTCCAGAAGGCTCATGCTCACAAGTGGGTACCCACGTCTCAGGCTCAAGAGAACAGAGTGACTGATTCACGCAGTCCCCTGCACGTATGGGGAGTGTGATCTGTGAACTCACCAACACCCTAGCATGAAGAGAGGAGGCCAAAGACTACCAAGGGAGGCAGAGACCCCAAGGCTTGTGAGACTCCTGGAGTAAGACTCCAGTGTCAGCAGATGAGTTGGCCAGCACCCCCACAGCAGGCTCTCTAGAGCTGCAGGCAATGTATTTAAAAATGGTCTTTTCTGGGCACGGCGCATCCTGGCACTCAGGAGGCAGAGGCAAGTGGATCTGTGTAGGTCTGAGACTAACAGAGACACCTTGTCTCAAACCAACCCCTCAACAAGACAAGTTAAACATGGGGCTCCAGAGAAGCTGTTACACACCCAGAAATCAAGCCCCGGACCACTCTACCTTCTGCATTTTCATCCAGTGCTCGCACAGACCACGAGAGAGAAACTAAGGCTCAGGGAGACTGTCCACTCCCGTCCTTTGGTGTGGGTTGGACAGGTGCTGCCACTGAGTCCGGTCACCTCAGCTGAAGAATTCCACTTTCCCCAGAGGGTTTCTGGGCTGCCACCTCTGCAGGACTCATTATTCTTCCTGGTTTTCATTGTCCACGGCAGAGGAGAGTAAAGGATCTGGGGCCTCTGCTTCACGTGTATTAAAAGTGAAGGACAGACAGGGATCCAGGCCTCTCTTCTTTAAGTAGTAACTTTCTTCTGAGGGAGAAAGGAGGCTGAAGGTCCTGGTTTTGGGGAGCGTTCTGCTCAGTGGCTTCTTTCCTTTTCTCTGGAATAGAATTTCACTGTGCCCCCTAGGCTGGTCTTGAACTTGACTCAAGCCACATTCCCATCCTAACCTCCCGAGTGTTGGGACTACAGACGCACACCACTATACCTGGCTCTTTATGAATTTTTTTTTGAGATCTAGGGTCTCATATACCACAGGCTAACTGTGCATATACCCAAGAATGACCATGAAAGGACCCTCTTGCTACTACTTCTGAACCTGTTGGGATTAACAGCTGTGTGCCTCCAAGCTTGCCTTCATATAGTCAAGAATCAGCCCCACGAGAGTGAAGCCACAGTGGAAAATGAAAACCTGCCCATGGTGGGGCTACTCAAACACTGTGGGTCTGGAGAACTCTCTAGACGCTCCTCACGGGAAGGTTGGTTCCTTGGTTTTATCCTTCTTCTGCTGGCTCTTCAGTAAAGGTGCCTTGGTCAAGACAGGCTTGCATGGAATGTTTAAGGATCGCCAGAGACTGTTTTATAGATCTCGGGTTTCCTTGGCATTCATTTGTAGGAGAGGTCACACATAATAGAGTGGAAGTCGCCGGTCAGTGGTTGATTGGTGTGAGCACATCCCACGTAGCGGGCAGCAACAGCACCCATCACCACCAGCAGCACAGCTAACCTGAAGCCCCATCCCTGCAACTCTGAATCATTTGCGTCCCTTGGGTAGTTCAACCTTTGAAGCTGATATGCTGTTTAGAAACAGAGGAACTGAAATCTTATTAGTCTGGTTTGAGAACTCCAGCCCACCCTCCTGGAGTGGGACAGTCCGTGACGCCAATCTTGCATGGGCATCCCTTAATAAACGTTTGGCAGTTTGTCTCATTTGGAAGGTTTCTCATCAGACTGAGCAAAGGCTGGCTATCCGTTAGCTCTTGTAAGGCTCAAGGGTCACAGAGATGATGGCATCAAGGAAAGGCCCAGCACACATATCTTCTTTTGTACCCTGTATACATGTCACCAAGCCCGTGTAAACACACAGATATGACATCAGAGATGGACAAGAACATGGTATCACCCAGCCCAACTGGGTCTTCTTCACTCCTACTCTCCAGAGTTCCCATTCTGAAATACAGGATACGTAGGCTTCCTTACCAGTGGGGACCACTGAGAAGGTGACCATCTGAAGAAGCTGACACACATGTGGTCACTGTACACTCGCTCAGAGAGCGTGAACTAGGACACACACAGGCCACCCTGGGCTAGTCCTACCTTGAGTTCCCTTTGCTTTAGTGTGAGCATTGGGACTTGTACTAATTCAGAGGCAAATTCAAATGAAACCTGGATGTGAGCTGGGAGCAACCTTGTTTAGAGGGTGAGCTTTAGTTTCAGGATTCAAACTCCTGTAGCGCCACCTACTGCATTCCCTAGGAACTCCACAGGGAAAGCAATGAGCCACCTACAAAAAGTGTCCTTGAAGGAGATTTCCTGAGTTCCAGTCTTGAGAGGAAAAGTGTGTGTGTGTGTGTGTGTGTGAGAGAGAGAGAGAGACAGACAGACAGACAGACAGATAGACAGACAATGACAACAGAAACCACAGCTGTAGCGCTGCTGCCCGCTGCCCAGTTGGTCCATCCTGAGTATCTGAGCAAGGCTAGAGCATTCTAACCTACTGAACCTGGAATAGGCCACACCTCTTTCATATATATCTAGAAAACTATAAAATTTAAAAGGTCTGGAGAACAAATGCTATAAACTTTACCTAAAAAAAGCCTATCTATGTAAATATATACAATTATGTGCAAAATTAAACACACACACACACACACACACACGCACCCAACCCCCAGGATCTCCACCTAAGCAGCACAGCAGGTGCAAGTCAAAGCCAAATGAGGTAGGGAGGTGGCCAAGCCCTCGCTTAAACGCCCAGGGTGGTCTCATCATCTGTCAACACTTGAGGCCATCAGCAAGAGTCCCACAGCAGCACGCTAGAACTGTGGGCAGGGACGCTAGGCACTTTCGGTTGGCTCAGTTTTGCGCTCTGCTGGGCAGGCTCTGGTCCAGACTCTGGAGAGCTTGGCGTCCTGGAGTCACAGAGCACCCACCCAACACACACACAGCACTGACCTCAGAAAGGTCAGCATACCGTTTACAAACCAAACTGAACTCCCTCACCTTGCAGCCCGACGCCACCTACCCTTCTGCACAGACCCTGGGGAGACAGTGGAGCAGAAACAGGTTTGGAAAAGGTTTATTGCATTGTTTCCATGTGGAAGCACTGGCAGAGTTGGGAAGAGGCAGCATGTCCCGCTGACTTCTGAAAAAATCACAGGGCTATGTCGACTTTCCTCCTACCCAGGACTAGAGTGAAAAACCTTATCCCACCCCCACCCCAAGCAAAAGCTACAAAGGGAGTTCTGTGGTGAGCGCTTTAAAACCACTAGTGTGGAGGACTTCACGGTGCTCGTGGTCTAAGTGGGATGTAGTGTTCAAGAAGGGTTTTCTCCCAGCACCTCCTGCATCCCCCGGTCCTTCCGCAGCTCAGGACCAGCTCAGTCCTGTAAGACTGCGCAGGGAACTGCCTCCGGATGGGAAAGCTAGTCTGTGCGGTGGGCAGAGGAGCAGGTGTGGGGGAGGCTACCTGGCAACTCTAAGAACGTTGCCTAACATCTACAAACCATCTCCCGGAGAAACACAAGTAAGATACAGTCTGTGCACATCTAGAGGGCTTCAAACTCCAGAAAATATATGCTCATGGCAGACTAAAAATGAGATGATCCTGATAGCTGGCCTGTCTGTTTCTCTCAGAATGAACATAGCTGGATTGACAACTTGCTGGGAAAGGGCGGGAACTGGGGTAGGAAGTAGTTGTAACACAGACAAGTGTAGCTTGCCTGAAACTGTTTTTCCTCTTGTGACTGTATAAGGCATTTTTGAACTGGAAAACAGCTCTCCTTCATAGTCTTCCAAAAAGCCAGAGGGACACAACTGCTAATTCAGAATACAGAGACCCCCTTACCTCTCCCACCTCATCCGATCATTCTGCACATCTGTGCCCATCAAGTACAAGGCTGGCAACTACTTTTGAAACTGAGGCGAACTGTGTTCACTTGGGCGCAGGAAGCCGCTTCAGAAAGGCCCTTCTGAAGGCTCCAGCCCCAATCTTGCCATTCTTAGGCCTCTAGGGGCTAGCATCATCTTCAGTGAGGTTCTGAGTCCCGCGGGTGCCAGTGCTGCCCGGTGGGCAGGAGGCGGTCAGGGCCCTCTTGGCTTCCCTACTGGACCAGTTCATCCACACACAGCCAGCAGGGGGTCAATTAGTAGAAGGGGCGGGGCCTGGGCAGCACCCTCGACGTTAGTCGTGCTGACAGACAGCAGAGAGGAGACAGAGGCCAGAGAAGTGATTTCAAAAGGAAAAGAGCAGCTTCATTCGTCAAAAAATTGAAAAGATGATTTTTTTTTTTAAAAAAAATAAAACATGGGGACTTTTTTTTCTCTGCAATGCTCAGCCATTTTTCTGGAGACATAAAAAAGTTTTAAGAGTAGTCACTTTGTTTTGCTTTTGGCCTAAACATTCACGAGAGCGGATGGGATGGTGCCATGACGTGGCCTGAGTGGCAATGCCGGTCAGGGTCCTTCAGACCACGTACTGGTACGGGTCTGCCTTCCCTTGGTCTGGTGTGGCAAAGGGGCTGGCCCAGCCTAGAGAGAAAGGGTGGCCAAAAACAGCTTTCATGTTCATCCACTTTGTTTTTTTAGCCCATCTTCTCTCTTCCTTTTTCAATTGTTCTATTCCCTGAAAACAAGAACAATCACACTTTCAGTCAGGCGCCCCAGGGCTGTGGCTTCAGGGGAGACGTCCACATGCCTCTGATGACCAGAGTAAACACTTCTTTGTCAAAGCCGTGAAGCTACCTACATAACGCAGCTTTCTTCTGTCTCTCGTAAGAAGCATCACACACTTACAAGTTCCCAAGGAGGGGGCAATGAGCTCTCAGCAGGCACCCGGGCCACTGCCGCCAACAAGACTGACACCGGCTAGTCAAAGGGTTTACATGCCAGACCTGACTTGCTGCATCAGGAAGGGCTCCGAGGCACCTGTGTATACAAAGGCTTTGGTGCAGGAGCCCGAAATTCTGACAACCAACGGTGGCTGTTGGTGCGGGAAAGATGAACAGGAGAGCTGAAGCTACAATGGCCACTTTGCAGAAAAAAAAAGGAGAAGAAGAAGAAGAAAAGAAAGACGAGCAGCAGCTAACGGGACCGCTCTGGTGCAGCCTCACCAGCCCAGAGGTCCAGGAAGCGGCCACTGGGCAGTCTGGGGAGAGGGGAGAGACAGTGAGAGGCAGGTAGTGAGGAAAACAATCACCCCAAGAGGAAGGAGGAATTAGCGCAGGTTAGAGGGAAAGGGGTCACAGTGGGGAGGAAGGAAGTCTTTCCAGCGCTCGCTCCCTCAGTGAGGAGCGGGGAGGCCAAGGCAGTTCTCACAGCCTGTGCCACTTTCCCTGCCAAGTCTCAGGGAAAAAATACAAGATAAAACAAAAACCAGGGAAGGGGAAGAGAGTTTTCTTTCCCTCCTTCAAACAGCTGTTGAGATGCCTGAACGGCAGAGAGCAAGGGCTGTTGTCTGTCTGCTGTCTGTCAAGAGGGGATGGGGTAGCCCATGTGCTCACAGCCTAGGGACCTGGGAAGACACCAGTTGAAGAGGTCGATGCTCTCCCCGCGAGCTGCAGGCCTTTTGTTTCTTTTCAACATATTCTCTTTGGGGACAGTCTTGATGAACAACAGCTAGGACCAGGCTGTCAGTGGGCCTCTGCTCCCACAACATGCTCTGGGCACCTGAGGCCGTGAAGAAGCTGCTCTTCATCTAGTACGGGGCCCCTAGACCAAGCTCAAGGTTTCTATCTGGGGAGACGGGGGGGGGGGGCAGCGCTCATGAAGCCAGGAGCAAGCAGGAGACTGAATGCAAGTCCCCACGATTCTTCTGCATATTCAACTAAGGTGCTGCCCACCTCACCCTCCAGAACCCAAAGCACAAAAGTCAAGAAACGCTACCTCACAGCTACTTCAGAGCTCCTGTACGTCTCTGCAAGGCCAGGAGCTGACTGCAGGACATGAAGCAGGTGGGCAGATCTGTCCCCTGGATCCAATCATGACACCAGCTCTAGAAGCTCATACCTAGAGCCCTGCTGGGAAGTGCAGACCCTGGCAGAATGCCCAAAGGGGCACAATATGTGGTAAAGAAGGCAACCTTCTGGCTAGGGCTACAGACAGGACCAGTCCCATGTGACCCTGCACCCTGAGCCCTCAGGCCCGGTACCTGGCCAGGTCCCCAAAGCCCCCTGCTTACCGTCTCATCTGTGCAGATGGAGTGCACTTGGGTCCCGAACATCACTGAAGTGAAAATGAGGAAGAGCAGCGCCTCAAAGCACAGCAGGATGAGCAGGATGACCGTGGTGGGGGGCGAGAAGGAGCTGCACTCTGCAAGGGAAGCGGGGGGACAGGGATGGCTGCCTGGCTCCCTGCTCCACCCCACCAAGCTCCCACCCTGCCTCCGGGTCCTACTTTTTGACCTCTTACTCCTTCAAGGAGTCCTCAAGAGACTTGGCAGCCCGCTAGATGGAGGAGCTGGCTATGGGTTACTACCTGCCTGGCCCTGAGTGCTGAGGGGTTCTGGGAAGAAGAGTGCTTGAGGGCTCTCAAGTCTGACAGTCATGGGTAGGGGACAAATCTGACCATGAGCTCCATGATGGCCCTAACACTCTGCACTGGCCAGCCTTTCCTACCTCTTCCATGTGGACATGGAACTGCATCTTTCTTCCTTACCTGACATCTACCTCTCCCACTACACCTATGCCGGACTCCAGGCAGCAAGTAACTGTTCTCTCACTGCCGTACAATCAGTTTTGAAGGCTGCCCAACCACAGGTATCTGAGCATGAAGCTCAGGCATCCTGAGATATACGTTCCCCTGGTACAGGTAAATGGATAAGAAGTGAAAACAGAACATCTGTGTAGCTTACTTCAGCTGTGGGGTGTGTGTGAGTGTGTGCATGCGCGTGTGCCAGCGTGCACACACATAAAAAACAGCGGTCACTCCCTTCTCAGCTGCACTGTTATGGGGCAAAGCCAGGGAGGTCCACCGTTCCCTTCCCTTCTTGCCCCAGACTCTGAAAATTCCAATTAGGATTTGGAATGGCAGGATCCAGGCCCCAGGAGTGTAGAATACCCAACTCAGAGTACCCATCCTAGGACACAGTTCCCTGAGCCCTCTTATACAAAATCTATTATGGCTCAACAGCTTAACCAGAGCCAAGCAAGGATGAACTTAACTATTAACCATGGGCAATTTTCCCAGTCTTACTGCCCTGGGAATGGGTGTCTGGAGTCCACTCCGTTAGGAACCTGGCTGGGAGGACCTTGTGCAATGGAGGCAGCAGACAAGGTTTGAACTGTAGGCCCTCTTTTCAGGTGAGAGGTCTCAGGACTACATCATACTCTGACCCCAGCTTTTGTCATATATAAAGGAGGAGCACTCTCCTATCCTGGGGCTCAGAGGGTCTAAACAAAGCAATGCTCAAAATACTCCCTGCTTGTTGCCTGGCTCCTAGTTGGCTCTAACCGTCCTGTCAGCACCACTACAACGTCGTTGCCTCTGTGACAGTCTGGGTTATACAATAATTGTTCACAATTAGCCTGACACAGGCAGGAGGTTTGTGATGATAAAATGACCTCACTGGTTACCCTCTATCAAGTTGCCAAGGCCATACCTGAATTGGCCTGGATTGCCAGAGCTGGCAGAATACAAGCACTTGCAGAATGCTCACTGAGTGAGCAGAAATGGGTTGGGTTCACTTGGTTCTGCAGATGGTATCTTGCTGTTCCTGCCCCCCTTTCAAAACTGTGGTGGACACGGAGAGGGCCAAAGAGTGGAGGCGTGGAAAGAGGAGGGCACTCACCAAGGGCAGAACTGGAGAACAGTTCCTGCTTGGGACATCTGACTTGCAGATTCTGAGTGTGAAAGCTCTAGCCCAGCATGTAGCTGTTTGTTACTTTCTGCTCTCCCACCCCCATTTCTCCTGCAGTCTCAGGCTAAGCTCCCTTCCTCAGCATCTGCACATTTAGATGGGATACGTGTGAAACAGGGAGACACTGTCTCCAATCTTAATCTAAGTATCAAGACAAGCAATCTGAAAATAACAACAACAACACACACACAAAGAAAAACCAACACAAATCCTCTATGCCCTAGGCAAAAAGTTAAAACTGATCTCTGGGAGACTGGGGTAAAATGTCCTTGGTTACAGTGCCCTGTTTAGAGCTGGGGTGTCACCCAGGAGGGAGTGCTTGCCTGCTGCGGCCCTGGGTTTCAACCCTAGCAGTGACAAGAGTGAAACTGGTGCCCTGCAGACCCAGACTCAAAGCTGTCTCTCTCCTGCCTCCTTAGGAGCCTGGCCTCTGCTCACTTATGCCTGTGAGCATCTCTGGGACACGCCCAGTCTGCTGCCTCTCTTACAACCTGATCAGTCTGTAGGCTTTCGGAAGATCTAATAAAAAAAGGCTGGGCCTGGTACTGCACAGGGGATGGAGGCCCCATGCCACTCAGTTTCTACACCTTCTCTACAGCAGGAAGAAAAACCCCAGCAATACTTACTTGTCCAGTCTTCTTCAAAGCAATGCAGGAAGTGGAATCCCACCATGATGAGGGCGTGCAAGGAAATGAGAGCTATGTACATCTGAAACAGGAAAGCAGGGCTGAGCCATTGTTGGGAGAACGGCCTAACTGTGCAGTCTCCTTGAACATGTGCTACGGGAACATTTTGCTAGGCTAAGGAAGAGTATCTGTGATTCCTCCAGCCCACAGACCCCCTACTTTCCTGTTTGGAGTGGGAAGGCACCAGCCATTTGTTAGGAATATGTGGAACCAGAACAGACGTACAGCCTAAACACAGACAGGACTTGGGCTGTGTGGGGCACATACAACCTGCTGCTCCTTCTAACTGAAAGGGTCAGAGCGCCAACCATCTGCACCTACCTGGGCTCCGAGCTCGAGGTCACCAGCAACACTGCCTTCTTTAGGGACTAATGCCTGAGCGATACCCAGAACAGAACGCTTGCCCCCGGTACGCAAACCAAACTTGCTTTCTTTTTTTTTGTTTTGTTTTGTTTTTTGAGACAGGGTTTCTCTGTGGCTTTGGAGCCTGTCCTGGCACTAGCTCTTGTAGACCAGGCTGGTCTCGAACTCACAGAGATCCGCCTGCCTCTGCCTTCCGAGTGCTGGGATTAAAGGCGTGCGCCACCACTGCCCGGCCCAAACTTGCTTTCTACAGGCACAAGCGAAGAGCACTGTGGAGCCAGGGAGATCCAGCCACGTGGGTAGGCAGTGTTCTCAACAGCAGCAAAGACCGCACAGAGTGCTGACATTTTCCAAAGAATAAGAGTCCCATTGCCTCGTGGAGGCAGGGCAGAACTCAGAAGCCGACTTACTGTAAACAGGACAAAGTACTTCTGGTTGTTCTCGCCGACACAGTTGTTGACCCAAGGACAGTGGTGGTCCATCTTGCGAATGCACCGTTTACAGACACTGAAAGGACCATATTCAGACTCTCAGCAGGAATTGTCACCATACATGGTCTGAAACAAGCACTGCACAGTGACAAACCAGCAGGCACTGGGCAATACCAGACTCCAGCTCCCACCTCTGGGCACCAGGAGAAATACGTCTAGAAGGCATATGAGGACCTCCAGGGTCAAGTCATTCCTCCAAGGCATCTGCACACATTAACAGGCTAGAACTGACCCAGGTAAGAGGTTGTTCGCAGCCTCACGGAGGAGGCCAAGTACGATGAGTTTGGATAATGTTACTGTAGGACAGGATATTGGGGAGGGGGTGAGTTCCAGAAGCTCTACCAAGCACTAGCAGAGATGGAATGCACTTTTTCAGGCTGTAGGAACTGTAGCAGCTTGGCAGACTTGGCAGCCACACTAGTGGGTTCCTATCAGTTTGCCTTACACGAGAGGCTTCACACTGCTCTTGCTCTTCTCCGTCTCCAAGGGCCTCTCATGATCTCATGACACAGGCAACATTCAGAAATGCTAGCCTGGTTCCATGATCTCCGGGAGCAGGAAGGCAAGGGAGGAAAAGGAGGCCCTACATGGATGCAGAAGGCAACTGTATCACTGGTCTGTCTGCTCTGCCTCTTCTGTTACACGTGGGAATTATGTACATGATACATTGGTGAACACTTCCTCCCCACAGAACAAGGTTTTCTGTGTACTCCTGGAACCTGCTCGTAGACCAGGTTGGCCTCAAACACAGTGACCCACATGCCTTTGCCTCTCGAGTGCTGGGATTAAAGCTGTGTGTCACCATATCTGGCCTTCTCATACTCCATTTTAAAGTAGACCCCATGGATGGAGTCACCCACTACAACCTACTTCTCATCTTACAGGCATGTCTTCCCAATAAAGAGAGCTCTAGGGTCCTTAATGCTCTTTTCACCTAGGAAACGAACTCCTGAGAGCATCTCTCCTTGTCCAGGCTCCTGAACAGGTCGTCTCCCACCCTCCTTGTTTCTAGGGAGGTTTTCAAGTACATGCTCGAGTCAGTGAGGACTCCACTGTAGAGAGAACAGGTGTGGACGAGCAGGAGGCTAGGTTTCACAAGGGGCTAAGGGGCCCTGGGCAACCAGGTCAGACAAACACATGCTCGAGGGACAGGAAGTGACTGCAGCACTTGAGAGTTGCATAAGCGGGCGGGTCCAATGTTTCCTGCTCTCAAGGGCATGAAGTGCCAAGGCAGCACTTCTCTTCTTGGGCTAGAAGGCTTCATACGGGGAAGGCAGGGCTCTGGGGCCCAAGCTATGGAGGCTGAGGGTGAAGCAACAGTCACGGAAAACATCAAATGCACTCTAGGGAGGTATTTCCCGGTGCCGTGGCCTCTAGATTTCCCTCACTCCTATATTTTACACCACTGCTTTAAAAACCAATGGTTCTCGTCCCTTCTTTTTACCACTTCCTTGCCACTTTTCAACACCCAACTCTGAGGAGACATTTACAAGCTCTTTGGCTTCTATGCATTAACACGTCTACTCATGGGTCGTGTTCCGTCTCCGGGAGGCATAAGGACCCATCTTTGCTGTGTAGTTCTCCGATCTATCCTGGGTGCTGACCAACATTAGTTAGACATAACCATGTCACCCAGAACTACCTCTCCTTGTAGCACCCCTTACCACACTGTCATAGGGACACCTGCCCTGCATGGGCTTAGAGCTACTTCTCGCCTACCACAAGCTAGGGTTGAGCCCAAGGCTTAGCCTGGCTGGGTCTGAGCACGAAGGCTTAGAGCTCAGACAAGATAAGCAGACCTAGAAAATGGGCGAAACCACAGTGGAGCAGGGTGAGAGACCTTGGGAGTCCTGGTTTCATTTACAGGTTTTCATTACCCACCTCACTGACTGACAAAATTGTAGGCAAACAAACAGCATCCTACACTCTAGACCAAAACACCAATCTCCATTTTGTGTGTGGGTGAAGACAGGCCGTCCAAATACATCCGATCATCACCCTGCTCCTCAGGTGAGCACCAGGTCACATGTTCGGTGACTAAGGACTGGACAATAAGCAGCAGGAGCCCATTCAGGGTCCAGGAAGCTGATGAAGGTTCAGCCTTAGTGTATGTGTATCAAAGGGAGCCCAGGGTGTGTGGCCCAACCAAGGCCAGGCTTGGCCTCCCCTGGGAACCTATCACATAAGCCCAAGGCCTTGGCTCTACATTAACCCACACAGGGTTTTCACCCGCTTCCCTAGTCCTTAGAATAAAGTCGCCTGGGGCTATAGGGCTGCTCCTGGAGGGAAAGGCCCACCTACAGAAGCAGGGCTAGGAGGCAGACTCTAGAGCAGTGGTTTTCATCTCTTGGAGGGGTGTCAAAGGACCCTTTCACAGGGGCTGCACACCAGATACTTATGTTAAGATTCATTACGAGCAAAACTAACAGTTATAAAATAGCAATGAAAATAATTTTATGGTTGGGTGTCACCACAACATGAGGAACTAACTGTATTAAAGGGCTGTAATCTGGAAGGATGAGAACCATCACTCCAGGCGGAAGGTTTGTGTGTAGCTATAACCCCACCAGAGCTCTGGGAATAGAGACTATATTATCAACCTCTATAGACTCCACCAGGAGCAGAATGCAGAAACAGGTGTATGTGTGGCCCTCTTCCCAAGGACAAGACAAACACAGCTCTCTCTAACCGTGACCAGGCAGCAGCCTCTGGCTAACAGACCATCAAAAACCCCCATTTATTCACGTTTCAGGACCTGCCTACCCTAACCGGGGTTCTGGGAAAGCCTGGGCCTCCACGCACCATCACGAAAGAGCAGTGCACATCTTCTGAGGCAGACACAGGTTACCCTAAACCAGGAGCTCTTGCTTTGCTCCAGCTGTTTGCCAGCACTTGGGTGCCCACTTTGGGGAGGAGGTGAAGAGGCGTGGTAGCTGCAGTGAAGAAAAAGAACACCAGGTGCTGGGCCATAGGGAGGAAAGAGAAAAGAAGCACTGTGTGGCAGGAAAGCTGTTTCCTAACAAGGTTAATCCTATGGTTTCTGGCCAAGTCTTCAGGAACTGTGCATATCTCTAACCCCACACATGGTTCCATTCACGGGGAGCTTTCACTTCCTGCTGGCCACTCCATAGCTATTTACATTAAATCCTTAAAATGAGGAAGGAACCAGTCACCCCTGTTTAGAGAGGGAAAAGTGTGCCCCAGAGAGACTTGGCACGGGCTTAAAACACAACCTCTCCAGCTTCAGAGTCAGGCCTCCAGGGTAGCCAAGAGTAATAAAGGCCATCTCACGTACAAGAAGCAAACCTCAACAGACCTCAGAGGCCATCCAAGACAAAGTCCTCTGGAAAAGCAAAGCTTCTCAGTCAAACACTCACACAGCTGCCATTGTGTGAATCACTTTCATACTGGAGTTCTAAGTAAAGCTAGAACCCCACAAGGACCCAGAACCAGACGGGCAGGACCCACACCTGTCTCAAGTATCTGCTTGCTCTGTGACCTTAAAGCAGTCAGCCGACACGAGGCTAGCGTCCCCATCAGGGGCATCGCCTGTGCAACAATACCGGATCTCCAGGGGTGGCCATGAAGGCGGAAATAGAGGTAATAGAGACCGAGGTTCCTGGAACACAGCAGGGCTGGGGAGCTGACCGGTCTGGGTGACAGAAACAGATCGTTTCGTAGGGCAGCACAGGAAACCACTCTACAATCTGTTGCTCAGGTACAATCTCTCTCCCAGTATCTCAGCTAGCAAAGCTCATCCTCCAAGCCCTCCTCACTCCAAACATACAGCAAGTTGTAAAGGGGCCAAATGACATTGGCGGTCTCTGTAATTGGCCGCTTATAGATCCCGTGTAATGAGAAAAACGCAATTGTGAGCAAGATGTTTTCTCACCAAGAAGACTCAAAGAACCCTGATGATACAAAGGGATGCCTGTAACAGCTCAGAGGGAAAAGAGACTTCTGCTTAGGAGCTGCTCCTGTCACAAGCTCCACAAGTGTTGCTTCAAGGAAAGTCTGAGAGATGTCTGTCTCAAGCACTGCACCTCACAGGTCTGCCAGAGCTGTGGGGTTACCAGGAAGTCAGGAGTCCCTCAGCCTTACAGACACGAAAACAGAGGCTATACCAGGCGTCCCTCGCTGTCAAATGCCTTTTCCACCCTAGCGGTCACTCCTTGACTGGCTGGGACACTCAGCAGTCCCGGTGCTGGCCTGGAGCTGAGGAGGGTCCACGGTACCTGCAGTGGTGGGCCCGGTCAGGCTTGATGCTGCAGCACTTGGGGCACTTGTACACCACCTGCCCAGGCTTCAGCTGGAGGCTCTCGATGAACTCTTTAGTGGCATTTCCTTTGGGCACTGCCCCCTAAGAGAAGACGGAAGGCATCAGGGTCAGCTGTCACTCTACTGGAGGCACACATGGGCTCTGTGGTCCAAATCACCTCAATACACAGAATTTTCCAAAGAAACTACACCTAGGTCACACTGACCCCATGATTAATTTCTTACTTTCATTAGCCAACACTGTTTTTTATTGATCTGTTCTTTCCCCCCTGGGAATATCACGGTAGTAGCTCGGCTCACTGACGATTCTGATTTCTGGGAAGAGCTCTGACCTTGGGAGGGTCAACTGGTGAGTGCCACATCCCACAGCTCACCTCTCCCATGCCAAAATGTGCTGCTTGACATTCATTGGGTTGTTTTGCTTTATTTTATTAATTTATCTATCTATTCATTTATTTATTTATTTTTACCTGTGTGACTATTCTGAATGATGGGCACTCTGTATTCAGTAATAGAAGCCATGGCCCCTGGGTATCTGACATGTTACTCCATGCTGGCAATACACAAATACTTGGTATTCTGGTTCTAGAGTCTGTTTGGACTCTGCACCAATCTGGACAGAAGGACAGACAGAATACCAACTTGAACAGGATCTCAATAGCCAGTATCACCAAGTACCTACCTGGAGCTAAGCCCTGGGCTCAACACTCATCACTATGGACTCCTCCCATGTGTCCCCCTCCTGCTTACCTCCCCAACAGGTGCAAGGGTTTGTGTGCTGTGGAAGTTACTGTGTTAAGAGATCAGAGGAAGCTGGGCTGTGGTGGCACACACCTTTGATCCCAGCACTTGGGAAGCAGAGGGAGATGGATCTCTTGACTTCAAGACCAACCTGGTCTACAGAGTGAGTTCCAGGACAGCCTTGGCTACCCAGAGAAACCCTGTCTCAAAAAACCCAAAGAGAGAGAGGGAGATCAGAGGAAGCAGCAGCCAGTAACTCGTGACCAGAGGACAGACGGTTTAAGACGCTAATGTCTAGGGCTGCTAGAAATGGAAGGGCATGCTCCAGGTGGAGCCACGGGAAAGGGGAACTGTGAGCCCATGCAGGCCACAAGCAGAGGCTTAGGCCCCTGAGTTCTGTGAGACAGATACGGGAAACTCCTAGCAGACATGACAAAGCATACATACAGAGTAGAACGAGCTGCAACAGTGGTTGGGCAGGCACAGGAGAGGAGAGAAACACAAATAAACGAACTCCCAGCTGCTGGTAAACTTGAGAACCATGCGGAGCCAGAGAGGCTACCAGGCCTGCTTTAGGCCGAAGTTCCACCGCTGTGCCTTTGCTTCCTAACAGGGAGCCAGGATCCACTTCCAATGCCTGAATGATGATAAGGGTTGCAGCACACAGGAAGCTTACAGGAGGCCCTTGGGTGCACTTTCCACAGCTGGGTGCTCACATTCAGAGTCCAGTACTGCACCAAAGCTGTGGAGCTCTACGGTACGCCTACACTCTAAGCTGTGCACCAAAGCGGTGGAGCTCTACAGTGTGCCCAGACTCTAAGCTGTGCACCAAAGCGGTGGCACTCTACAGTGTGCTCAGACTCTAAGCTGTGCACCAAAGCGGTGGCACTCTACAGTGTGCCCAGACTCTAATCTGTGGCACTCTACAGTATGCCCATACTCTAAGCTACGCACCAAAGCTGTGGAGCTCTACGGTACGCCCGGACTCTAAGCTGTGCAAAGACAGCAAGGGGCAAAGCCTGGACATCCGCGCTGCACAACAACTCCCACAGGGTCCAAGAAGGTGGAGGAGGGGGCTTCGCATAGCACCCCCCCACCCCGCCCCGCACGGCTGACAAACTTCAACTAGCCAGTGGGGCAGAAGGCACAAGAACTGGTTATCAGGATCTGTCCTGTGAGAGAACAGAACGTCAGGAAGGGAATAACCACTTAAATGCCAAGATGCATGCAATTGTCGTTTGCTTTTGCAGAGAAGGTATTTCACAGGGGACAGACTCGGGCTAAAGGGACTGCAGACACTGGGTAAGCAATAGTTCTGTGCTGAGAACAGAGGCTATGATGGGAGCTGTAGGGCACCACCAGGCAATGAGGCAGCCCAGGGGAGTACCTAATGAAGGTTCCAGCCCCTAGAATTTGCTATAAACCCTAGAGAGCCCACACAGGGCTGCCAGAGGAAGTCACTTTGCAAGGGTAACGGGAGCCTTATGCACTATTCTCATTATTGTTTATTAGCCAGCTGGTAATTAGAGCCTTCCTGAAAGTGTGCCTCTCTGGTATGCTTCCAATTGCACAAACATCCCAGAAGACTTGTTCCCATCAGGGCAAGACCCCAGCTCTCCAGCCACCTGAGCCAGTCCCAACCAAGGACCAGCTGCTGGCCCCTGGTGAGGACCCCTCCCCACCCCTGTCACCCCAGAATTGGCTATTCCACACTTGTTGGCTTCAGTCTCAGAACTGGAAACTGTTACTCCCTCACGGAGAAGAGTTTTTGTGGTTGTTGTTGTTGTTGAGTGTAGTCCCTGTTAGTGCAGGGCATGGGTGGGAACTCGGTGTCTGAGACACTCACCCTCCCTTATCTTTATCCATCTCATGGGAATGTCCTGAAGCTTGTAGATTCCTGCAGCCTGCCTATCCAAATACACTGAGTTTTCCTCTCTTTTCCAAAGAGATAAATACTTGTTTATGGTTTTTAAAAAAGGACATATAGATAAGAAAAGGGAAAACCTCACTTGGTCACCCAAGAGAAGTATTACCTACACTGTGAAGCATATACTAAGAGTCTTTTCTCTTGGTACACAGTAAGCTGTAAACGCTGAAAGCCACAGTTGCAAAATATGCACCAGCCTCATCACAAAGTCAGATAAAACATGGCCGACTCAGCCCATAGGAAGCATAGAGAAGCTGCTGGAGGTTTCCTGGCCTGGGCACACGTAGCACTTTACCCTCTTGTTCAGTGGTATCCTTGATGCCACGTTATCGAGGCTAGAAACCTAGTGGCCACCTTCCGGTGTTCTCACCCTGCCTCCCCTCTGTTGCATTATTTCCATCTAAATCTGAACCCTAAAACTGCCCTCAATCCCATGATCCCCTCCATATCACCGTCACAGGCTTTCTTAGCCCTTACTGCCTCTGATTATTTCCAGGACAAACATTCTACATTGTAAATGGCCACATGACTCCGGGCATAACGCCTCCAATAGCTCCCTGGTGACCATGGATCAGAGTCTGAACTCCTGGCCTGGGAACACAGGCCACACCTAGCCTTGGCCCCACTCTTGTGCTGGGCCCCTCCTGACTGTGCTGCCCTGTTTATGCCTGGGCCTGCAAGGGCACTGCATACACCTCAGGCTTCTCCTCTGCCCCCACGACATGTGGGCACCACCTGAAGCCCTCTAGGAAGCTTGGCAGCCAGTATTTGAAGTCCTCTGTAACCATTTCAAAGCCACTGGAGCTCCCTGACGTCTTCCTGACGGCCTGAAAGTACGGCATCGCCCACAGCAGGACACACACCATGAGATTACACACTGACTCTCCAGCATGACTGTGAATTCCCAAGAGGACAGAGACAATGTCTTCCAACCTAGCAAATTGCTCAGAGCCTGGCATCAGGCCTGCATTCAACATACCCAAGCCAGATAATAATGATACAACAGACATTTATTGAGGCTTATACAGTTCAGGCACAGTTCCAAATGCTTTGTGACTGAAAGCATTTTGCCAGTTAATTCTGACAATAAATCTGTGAGAAGAGACTGTGTGCTCCCTCATTTTGTAACACAAGTGAGTGAATCAGAGTCAGACATCTCCTAAAACAGTGTGGTTCAGGGGCAGCAGACTGCAGATTCAGGCCCAGGCAACAGTCAAGACACAAACATAGTTTTCAGGTAGTTCTACTAAGAGACCTGGAAAAGTGTTCTTTTCCTTATTGCTTTGATGCTATCTATCACACTCTACTGCCAAAGACTGTTAACAGTACATGCATAGGAAGGGTAAAACAAGAAGGCTAGACTCAATGTCTAGATGAGGGCACACAGAAAGAAAGCAGTGGAGATAAGAAACTGTCAACAAGAGATTGAATTTGAAGAGGAGGAGGAGAAAGAGCAGCAGCAGCAGCACAAGTGGATGGATCTCTGTGCCTTCAAGGGGGCTAACAAGGGGCTGGGCCTGGGGAAGGAGTCACGCAACTGTGGCAACTGTGCAATGTGGGGCACTGAACTTCCTGGGTGGGGACTGCGCCTCAGTGTTCAGTGACTTCTGGGAAAGACACTGTCCCAAAATGCAGAACCAGAATGTAAGTGGAAAGGAAGTGGTGGGGAAAGCAAGGTGATGGGCAGGAAGGATGGACTCTAAGATAGGAGGGGTTCCCAAGTCCAGGCTGTCTCCAAGGGCGCCTCCTCTAGAAACCATAGGCATACAGGCAACTTGCTTGTGCTCCAGGACCTGCTTGGGCCTGATCACACATATGCCAATCCATCTGATAACGGAGTGCGGCTGTGCAGTACAACTTCATGACTTGGTGCGCCAGAGAACACCCGGCTCACCATAGGCAGCTCAGGTTGCATGACAGACTTAGGGCTTCTATTGCTGTGGAGACACCATAACCACAGCAACTCTTATGAAGGAACACATTTAATTAGGGTGGCTCACTTACAGTTCAGAGGTTCAGTCCATTATCATCATGGTGGGACATGGAGGCATACAGGCAGATGTGGCCCTGGAGAAGTAGCCAAGAGTTCTACATCTTGCAGGTAACAGAAAATGGTCTAAAACATGGGGTGGTACCTTGAGCATATATGAGATCTCAAAGCCTGCCTCAAAGTGACAGACTTCTTCCAACAAGACCATACATGCCTACTCCAACAAAGTCACACCTCCTAATAGTGCCTCTCAAACTACCACACCCATTGTCAACATTCAGTTTCCACTAAGGTTCAAAAACAGGCCAAGAGCCATCTCTCAAAAGGAGAATTGTCTGCAGATGATGGCAGAGCCTTGCTCCAAATCCCAGAGGTCTCTCCTATGGTTCACATACAGAGGTCTGCCAAAGGCTCCAACAAAACA